CGGAGAGGCAAGGAACCAACAGTCTGTATTCAAGAGAAAGATCTGTAAAACTGATGCACACGCAATACTCAGGTTCTGGAGCAGGACTGCAGTTCAATAGTGGACGAGCAACCAGAACTTTCCGGCAGAGTGTACAGCTGGTGAACGCGAAGAAGAAGAATAAGAACATGTTACACAGGGGATACCACAAATATAGAAAATGTTAAAGAGGTGATACCACAAATATAGAAAATGTTAAAGAGGTGATACCACAAATATAGAAAATGTTAAAGAGGTGATACCACAAATATAGAACATGTTACACCCCAGTGTGGGTTCAGGGGCCCCATTGTAGGGAAAAACAAGAATAGACCCACTGCCTCCCCAAAAGCATGTCATAAGAGTCGACTAATTGGGGAGTTTCCTTTGAAGTCGGAGTGCATCTGCCGGAGAGGCAAGGAACCAACAGTCTGTATTCAAGAGAAAGATCTGTAAAACTGATGCACACGCAATACTCAGGTTCTATAGCAGGACTGCAGTTCAATAGTGAACGAGCAACCAGAACTTTCCGCCAGAGTGTACAGCTGGTGAACGCGAAGAAGAAGAATAAGAACATGTTACAGAGGGGATACCACAAATATAGAAAATGTTAAAGAGGTGATACCACAAATATAGAAAATGTTACAGAAGGAATACCACAAATATAGAAAATATTACAGAGGGGATACGACAAATATAGAAAATGTTACAGAGGGAATACGACAAATATAGAAAATGTTACAGAAGGAATACGACAAATATAGAAAATATTACAGAGGGGATACCACAAATATAGAAAATGTTACAGAGGGGATACGACAAATATAGAAAATGTTACAGAGGGAATACAACAAATATAGAAAATGTTACAGAAGGAATACGACAAATATAGAAAATATTACAGAGGGGATACCACAAATTTAGAAAATGTTACAGAGGGAATACGACAAATATAGAAAATGTTACAGAGGGAATACCAAAAATGTTACAGAGGGAATATTACAAATATAGAAAATGTTACAGAGGGGATACCACAGATATAGAAAATGTTACAGGGGAAAATACCACAAATATAGAAAATGTTACAGGGGGAAATACCACAAATATAGAAAATGTTACAGGGGGAAATACCACAAATATAGAAAATGTTACAGAGGGATTACCAAAAATATAGAAAATGTTACAGAGGAAATGTTACAGAGGGAATACCACAAACATAGAAAATGTTACAGGAGGAATACCACAAATATAGAAAATTTTAGAGGGGATACCACAAATATAAGAAATGTTACAGAGGGGTTACCACAAATCCTGGAATGTCTCACAGTTTCAGGGGAGGAAGACCTTTCTAGAACGGGCTCAGTGTCTCTGATATTTCTGTGGTCCATCTTCTGCGTGGTCGACCTCTCGCTCTGTTACTGTTGTATCTGTATAACATTGCTCTCTCCGGTGCCTTGTCTGATGCCACTCTTGTTACATGGCCAAACCATTTGATTGTTGATGAATTTCAGTATAGGTTATCTCCTCCTGATATCATAATTCTGAAGTCTATCTTTTCTCGTTACACCTAGCATAGTATATGTGTCGTTATAAACAAAAATGTAGATTTATATTTTAGGGGCTGTGAACGCAACTTCACAAACTATTTCCCTGATGTGGCTGCTGTCCTGATGCAGTTGCTGTCCTGATATTGTTGCTGTCCTGATGTTGTTGCTGTCCTGATGTTGTTGCTGTCCTGATGTTGTTGCTGTCCTGATGTTGTTGCTGTCCTGATGTTGTTGCTGTCCTGATGTTGTTGCTGTCCTGATGTTGTTGCTGTCCTGATATTGTTGCTGTCCTGATGTTGTTGCTGTCCTGATGTTGTTGCTGTCCTGATATTGTTCCTGACCTGTATTTGTTGCTGTCCTGATGTTGTTGCTGTCCTGATGTTGTTGCTGTCCTGATATTGTTCCTGACCTGTATTTGTTGCTGTCCTGATATTGTTCCTGACCTGTATTTGTTGCTGTCCTTATGTTGTTGCTGTCCTGATGTTGTTGCTGTCCTGATGTTGTTCCTGACCTGTATTTGTTGCTGTCCTTATGTTGTTGCTGTCCTGATGTTGTTGCTGTCCTGATGTTGTTGCTGTCCTGATGTTGTTGCTGTCCTGATATTGTTCCTGACCTGTATTTGTTGCTGTCCTTATGTTGTTGCTGTCCTGATGTTGTTGCTGTCCTGATGTTGTTGCTGTCCTGATGTTGTTGCTGTCCTGATATTGTTCCTGACCTGTATTTGTTGCTGTCCTTATGTTGTTGCTGTCCTGATGTTGTTGCTGTCCTGATATTGTTGCTGACCTGTATTTGTTGCTGTCCTGATGTTGTTGCTGTCCTGATGTTGTTGCTGTCCTGATGTTGTTGCTGTCCTGATATTGTTCCTGACCTGTATTTGTTGCTGTCCTTATGTTGTTGCTGTCCTGATGTTGTTGCTGTCCTGATATTGTTCCTGACCTGTATTTGTTGCTGTCCTGATGTTGTTGCTGTCCTGATGTTGTTGCTGTCCTGATATTGTTCCTGACCTGTATTTGTTGCTGTCCTGATGTTGTTGCTGTCCTGATGTTGTTGCTGTCCTGATGTTGTTGCTGTCCTGATGTTGTTGCTGTCCTGATGTTGTTGCTGTCCTTATGTTGTTGCTGTCCTTATGTTGTTGCTGTCCTGATGTTGTTGCTGTCCTGATATTGTTCCTGACCTGTATTTGTTGCTGTCCTGATATTGTTCCTGACCTGTATTTGTTGCTGTCCTGATATTATTGCTGTCCTGATGTTGTTGCTGTCCTGATATTGTTGCTGTCCTGACATTGTTGCTGTCCTGAAGTAACTGTAGTCCTAATATGGTCCTGTCCTGGTGTGGCTGCTGTCCTGATGTGGTTGTTATTCTGATGTTCCTGTCCCACATACTGTGCTAATGTGATTGTGTCCCAGTATGGTTGCTGTCCGGCCTTAGATTCCTTTTGCTGCTCTCATTTTCTCTGGAGTGCCTCTACACTAGAAGATTGGAGACTAGAACACATAGAAACAACCTAGATTTAGACAGCAACAATGCTGAGGATACATAACCAGGTGACAGAAAGATCCATCTCTTACCTGACTTGTCAACACCATGGAGCAGGGTACATCCGCATACAGAGCAGGCCATCAAAATCTTGTCTTGTTTCTGAGCAAGTTCAGGAGGAAAAACAAACTATATAAACAAGTGAAGATTCTGTCGCTAGCACGTCATTTCTGCTAGATCAGCATGTTGGTTTGAAAAATGTTCAGACGCAAAAATATAAGAATTAAGATACAAAAAAAATTATTTAAAAAAAAAAGATTTACAACCATACCACTTGAGTTTACAGCCACTGAACACAAAGAAGAAGAAGAAAACCATACACCCATTCACAATTATTTTTCACATTATTATTCACATAATTATTCACATTATTATTATTGTAATTCACAGTTAAACTAAGACAGATAAGCCAAAAAATTGCCCAAACATGCTGCACAAATACATACATGAAAATACAAACATATAACCCATATAAACCTACAAAAATAGAATTCAAACACAAATTAACAACCATACAAATCACAGTCACAAAGCCATCAATATACAGAAAACACAAACACAATAACACCACCAACATACAACAAATACAAACATTACCAAGCCACAACCATAAACATTTCATGCACAAAGACATTAACATTTATTTCACAAACACAAAGCCACTAATGTACTGCACAGACTACAAAGCCACCAACATACCGTACACACACAAAGCCACCAATATACAACACACACAAAGACACCCACATACAACAAATGTACAAATTTACCAACACGCAACACAAACCCATCTATATACAACACATACCCAGCAGCGTACAACACACAAGGCCACCAACATATAACACACACAAGGCCACCAACATATAACACACACATGGCCACCAACATATAACACACACAAAGACACCCACATACAACAAATGTACAAATTTACCAAAATGCAACATAAACTGATCTATATACAACACATACCCAGCAACGTACAACACACAAGGCCACCAACATATTACATACACAAGGCCACCAACATACAATACACAAAGCCAACAACATACAACACACATACAAAGCTACCAACACACATAGCCATCAACTCACAACAAAGACAAAGCCACCAACATAATGCACACACAAAGCCACCACCATACAACAAGCAGTTTCGCTGCCTAAGCTACTGAGTTTGGTGCTGCCCTGTGAGCTGAGTTTTTCCTGTGGAATGCCTTACATTTGTGCAGTGGCTGTGTCGTGGCATTCAATATCGTTGGTAGCCAGTTTACGTGTGAGCTGGTGGAATACCTTATGTAGTAATTCCATGTGTCCAACTACTTCCATCAATGACGGACTGCATTTTTTAGTGGTGACTGTTAACTTTTGGCACCTCTGGCAACTGAAATGTGCATTTGCTGATTGCGCATATTTCTGGGTTGTTCCGAGGCTAATTGTTGTTTATCAGTTTTTCAAACGCAACAGTGAGGCTCGTATCATTTTATCTGCAATGGCACAGGAACGGAGATTTATGGGGAAACCCGAGTATGCAAGGATGTTGAAACCTCGACTAAGACTAAACAACACACAAATTCAGCAACACACAAAACAAACTCATCAACTCAGACAAAGCCACCAACATACAACATACATAGAGTCACTAATACATAAAGCTATCAACACACAACTCAGATAAAGCCACCAACATACAACATACATAGAGCCACTAACACATAAAGCCATCAACACACAACTCAGACAAAGCCACCAACATACAACATACATAGAGCTACTAATACATAAAGCTATCAACACACAACACAGACAAAGCCACCAACATACAACAGACGACATCAACACACAACAGACAACGCCATCAACACACAACAGACAACGTCATCAACACACAACTCAGACAAAGCCACCAATATGCTGCACACACAGACACCAACATAAAGAACATATATTCTCGCAATTCTTTACCTCACAGGCTATATTCTCTTGCTCCCCGGCTGTACTGTCAAGACCTAGCTTTGAGGTAAACTTTCTCTTGGTTCCCCTACTCTTCCTTCGAACATGCAGCCTGTCCTCACTGTCCAGCTGTTCCTCACGTTTGCAGACAACAGGAGTCTGTTCACAAGCAGCTTTGTTACTCAGTGATGGACTAGAATTAGGGCTGCCCCATGTGGGTGATGTAAATTTATTCTTGTGAACGGGTGTGCATATATTTGTCAGTAATTTATTTTTGGATACAGGTGAGTGTAATATGGATTTACTCTCGGATATGGGTGTGGATATACTTTCTGGCAATTTATCCTTGGATGAAGGGGTGGATTTGTTTGTTAATTTACTCTTGGATATAGGTGTGGATGCATTTGTGGATGGTAAGGAAGTATCCTCAGATACAGATATACGTGGTACAGATGAGTCCTGGGATATTGGTAAAGATATGCTTGGCATGGATGTATCCTGGAATACTAGTATGGATTTATCCTCGTACACCAGCATGGATGCATTTGTGGATGGCACGGATGTACCCTCAGATACTGAGTCAGTTGTAGTTTTACTGTCAGGCCGTGAACGCTTAAACAAAAACTTCTTACTGGAAGCGACTGGTATGGCTCTGGCTAGCGAAGTTCTCTGACTGTAACCATCTGGTGTGGTGCCAGCAGATGGCCAGCTGCCAGCGGTTACACAAGATGCTGGTTGGTCTGCAGGATCTGTCTGAATGTCTAGTGAAATGACTGAGACACAAGCCGACGCATCTAGGGATGCTGCTGGCTGAGTGGGGATACTTGCAACAGACAAGCTCTGTGTAGCTGCAGAAACACTTGTGGTTTTCAGCTTCGTTTGATCATTTGTGACACCGGCATCAAGGGCCAAGATGTCAGTGTCACCAGCCATGATGTTAGTGTCACCAGCCATGTTGTCAGTGTCACCAGTAATGGTGTCAGTGTCACCAGCCATGTTGTCAGTGTCACCAGCCATGTTGTCAGTGTCACCAGCCATGATGTCGGTGTCACCAGCCGTAATGTCAGTGTCACCAGCCATGTTGTCAGTGACAGGAGCAAGAGTGTCACTGTGAGAGTTGGTAGTTGGCTGCGGCGGTGACACTGATGTGCCACTATCTGAGTTGACAACAGCTACAGGAATGGAGGCTCGCTGATGTGTCCACCTGTAGGTGTTTCTTCTTGTCTGCTGTTTCTCTATGCTGCTTACCGGTGATACTCCATTTCTCAAAGAATTTCCCATGCTAAAGATGGGAAATGGCTGTAAGATAAAACATAAACTAAAGAATTAAGAAATGCCTGTAAGCAGGTAAAACATACACAGTATACTACAGGGAAAAGACCATAAGTGTGTAAAATATACAAGAATAGAATATGGGAGACTACTGTAAGAAGGGTAAGATACATTACAAAATATGGGAAATTGCTGCAAGTAGGTTAAGACACATCACAGAATATGGGAAATTGCTGCAAGGTTAAGATACACTACAGAATATGGGAAATGATAATAAGCAGGTAAAACATAACAAAATAGGTGAAATGACAGTAAGTAGGTTAAAAAAGAAAATACACTACAGAAGCTTAAATATGGCTACACATCTTCTTTTTATCATATCATTTAGCAAGAAAACAAAACAACCAAACCCCCCCCCCCCCCCCCCCTCCCCTTCTGTGTCATGTACTTCTTATTCAAATTTACTCTTCATTTTCTTCCCTTAAAAAAAAAATGATTGTTAAAATGTGAGTGTCAGTGACAGGCTTTCAAAAACAAAAACTGTATGTGGGTCATTTTTAACTGGAAACATTGTTCTAGATTGCTGTATTGTTTTAGTACATCTCTCTTAAACATATCCATCTTCTCACCTTTGCAGGTGTCCTCATGTCTATCACCTTGGCAGATGTTCTCCTGTCTGTGTTGTGGAGGTCAGGGGACACAGCCAGTGGGCTGGAAATGGTGCTCCCAGGTTCTGCTAGCAACTTTGAGGACACCTTCAAGTCTGGACTCTTTACCAGTGAGGCTTCTTGGCTGTGGACATAATGGAGTCAACAGGTGAAACAGCTGACAGGACATGACTGAGTGAACAGGTGAAACAGCTGACAGGATATGTCTGAGTCAACAGGTGAAACAGGTGACAGGACATGTTTGAGTGAACAGGTGAAACAGGTGACAGGACATGTTTTAGTGAACAGGTGAAACAGGTGACAGGACATGTCTGAGTGAACAGGTGAAACAGGTGACAGGACATGTCTGAGTGAACAGGTGAAAGGATGTGTCTGAGTGAACAGGTGAAAGGACATTTCTGAGTGAACAGGTGACAAGACATGTTTGAGTGAACAGGTGAAAGGACATTTCTGAGTGAACAGGTGAAACAGGCGACAGGACATGTTTGAGTGAACAGGTGAAACAGGTGACAGGACATGTCTGAGTGAACAGGTGAAACAGCTGACAGGACATGTTTGAATGAACAGGTGAAACAGGTGACAGGACATGTCTGAGTGAACAGGTGAAACAGGTGACAGGGCATGTCTGAGTGAACAGGTGAAACAGGTGACAGGAGAAGAACAGACCCACCCAATGCCTCCCTAACAAGCAAGTCGTAAGAGTTGATGAGTAATTAGTGTTTCCTTAGAAGACAGAGTGCATTTGCCTCAGAGGCAAGGAACCAAACAGTATGCACACAAATAAACCAGATCTGTAAAACAGATGCTTTTTATCCTGAAGAGAATGTATAGAACAGAATGCTGGAATAAACTGCCACCTCTTTTGACATAGAGGCACAACTGGACAAATGATAAAGATGTTGTAGTAAGGATCATCCATGTCTGACACTGGTCATACAAAGTTGACCAAAAAAACCAGTTTTATTAGATATGTCTATTAGATCTGAATGGGAGCCGCCATGGTGTAGCGGCTAGATGCTAGCCTGAAGATCTGAAGATTGTTAATTCAGGTCCTGGTGAAGCCACTTCTAAAAAAATGACCTAGGCCTAAAGGCGTGGAAAAGGGTCCCTTTGTCAGATGTGATTAAACACTTGTGAAGACAACCCACCTGACTCTGCTATCCTGCACCGCCAGTTGGCCAGCAGTGAACTTTGACAGGGATTCCATGGCAACGGAACAGTCCTGGTAAGTGTGGACTTTGTTTCTCACCCACTTGGACAGACCTGCCGGGTATAAATTAAAGCAGGTGACACAACTGATCAAACTTTAATTATTTTCAAAGGGTCATGAATTAGGTAGGGTAGTATGCCGTGGCCTTGGTGGCCAGACACCTGCCTGCCTGAGGATCGGAAGGTCGTAGGTTCGGGTCCTGACAGAGCCCGATTTTTTTCAAAAATGACCTTGACTTTCAGGTCAATCCAGCCTTCGAGTTGGTACCAGGTGCAGTCCTGGCAAATAAAGGCAGCCGGCGTGCGTGGAAAAGGGTCCTATGAATGAGGTAGGCAGGCTCCGGCCCGTGTTACCTCTGCTCTTCCAAGGGTAACAACACAAGCTGATTGTATTAGAAGAGTTTACGACAAACATCAAGCTAGCGCAAATTATGTGTAAGAGATAAGGCTTTAGCGGGCCATGGCCAAGAAAGACAATCACCAGGTTGAGTGTGACTGTTGGGAAATATGAGAATAACTGGATGTGAGGGATTGAATAGTTGGTTAGAAGAAAGAACAAAGAATCATTTTTTTTCCCAAACTCTTCTTATATGTTAAAATGTTTCATTGCCATAGCATTAATCTTTGTAACAGCAATGTTAATATAGCAAAAACATGGATTGTTAAAAAGCAAAAGCATGGATGGCAAAATGCATATATTCAAATTTTCACACACACACATCTACATTCACACACATATTTGTATGTATGTATGTATGTATGTATGTATGTATGTATGTATGTATGTATGTATGTATGTATGTATGTATTGTATGTATGTATGTGTGTGCATGCGAGAGAGAGAGAGGGGGGAGGGAGGGAGGGAGGAAGAGAGAGAGAGAGGGGAGAGAGAGAGAGAGAGAGAGAGAGAGAGAGAGAGAGAGAGAGAGAGAGAGAGAGAGAGAGAGAGAGAGAGAGAGAGAGAGAGGGAGAGAGTGATGTAGTATATGAGATATGATAATCTGACAGGTGTGCTTAGAGGCACTGGTATACAACAGCACACGGGACACTGTTGTATCCCAGTGCCTGTCAGCACATCTGTCAGATTATCACATGTTATCCTAGATCTTTCTCTCTTTCTGTTTGTGTAGCTGTGTGTGCACCATTGGACATGCACGACCTGTCTAATGTTGTCATGACACTGGGAAGGTACTGCAGGCTTCTGCTACACAGACACCAAGAAAATGGCCCTGGCTGATCAGCATTCATGTCTGGGAGACTAGTCATTTACACAGATGGGTTTTTGAGCACGGGACGAGGTCAGCATGGGTATACAAAGCACAAAGTATGCGGAAAAGAATAAAAGAGAATACTTACCCTTACTAGACAACTAAATCAAGCATGGCCATCTAGATAACCACTAGACAACCGGCCACACATGCAGTAATCGTTTCAGACTCCATGAATGTGTTTCAGAAAATCAAAAATCGCAAAAAGTAGTTTGAGCTTGGAATGGGTAGAAAGCATTCGGAAGTCGCAGTTAGCTTCCATCTTCTGGATCCGCACACCTTGGCATGCAGGAGTTAAAGGTCATGAAAGAGCTAACAAGAAAGAGCTGGCAAATAATGCACCAATGCACATGGGAAGAAGCATGGACAGAGCAGATATGATCAACGCTTTACGGATTAAGATGGGAGATAATGATGAATCACTGGCGCTAAGATGATTGCATGACCTGTAAGTGAAGCACATCTACGCCATTTTTGAAGTCAAGACAGGAGACACTATAACTAACATCACATGGGAATACTGAGGTAACTTAGGAGTAGCTGCTGCACTGAAGGACTGAGCACACATGGGAATGTCCAATGTACAGTGACATCGATTGTGGTAACATAATATTTGTACACAGGACACACCCAGGTGTCTTTATACAACAGTACGGGATATAACAGGACACATGACATAATCGTACATGGAACACCAACAAGTGTCTGACATACAGCCCATTACCTTTACAATATTTCTCTGCTGTCCTGACAAAGCGGTCGTCCACAATGATCAAAGCTCCCCAGTCATGCCTGGATGATTTCATGTCCAACACAAGATCCCACAACAATAGTGTTCAGAACAAGGGTGTCCAACGGTGCAGGGAAGAGAGGTGTTTCTGTTAGAGCTATGCTACTGAATCTATCTATCTCTAGTAATGTAACCTAGCAGTGATTGCTTGCAGTAATGTAGCAGTAATTGCATACAGTAATGTAGCAGTGATTGCTTGCAGTAATGTAGCAGTAATTGCATACAGTAATGTAACAGTGATTGCTTGCAGTAATCCCTTATAGTATTGTAGCAGTGATTGCTTGCAGTAATCCCTTACAGTACTGTAGCAGTAATTGCTTATAGTAATGTAGCAGTAATTGCATACAGTAATGAAGCAGTGATTGCTTGCAGTAATCCCTTACAGTATTGTAGCAGTGATTGCTTGCAGTAATCCCTTACAGTATTGTAGCAGTGATTGCTTATAGTAATGCAGCAGTAATTGCATACAGTAATGAAGCAGTGATTGCTTGCAGTAATCCCTTACAGTATTGTAGCAGTGATTGCTTGCAGTAATCCCTTACAGTAATGTAGCAGTGATTGCTTGCAGTAATCCCTTACAGTATTGTAGCAGTGATTGCTTATAGCAATGCAGCAGTAATTGCATACAGTAATGTAGCAGTGATTGCTTACAGTAATGCTACACTAATCAATTGAAACACGACCCGAGGACTTACAGCAATGACAGCTCGAGAGTTCAGTATGAAATAGCAGATTCTAGTGATGTCCAGTCTTTATCTAACTCTCAGTAAAGTTTAGTTTTACATCACAATGTCTATTTTGAATATTTAAAAACAATGAAAATCCAGTTTTATACATAAATTCAATATGATTGATGATTGGTACCTTTCCCAACGATATTGTTATATTGCGCTATGAGGAGGCATGAGACTCACAGTCCATGGTTATGGCGAGTGTGACTAGCCAGACCTGCCCACGTTAAGAAAAGTCTTCCACAATTATAGCATTGGATTTCAGGACCACTCCATATCACAAAGCCTGGGCAATATTGTAGAGACCATATGTTGGCCATGCACCATGATCCCTCCATTGACCTGCCTTGTTTACTCCAAAGGAGAGGTAACACCAGTACATTGGAACAAAAGCAGGCTGCAGAAGCTGCCGGATCCGAAGAGCAGTGCTCTATCAGTCCGCCTGTCGGAGCTTCCCTTCTAGACCAGCTGCCAGCCAAGGCTAAGAGGTTAGTCTGCCCTGTCATAACATAAAAGTTTTCAGGTTGCATTTAAATTCAAGATGGCCAAGTTTTGCATAAGATGTAAAGCTTTGTAGATAACAACCATAAAATGCAATGCATAAGCTCACAGGCCAAGTCAAGACATGGGAGAACAGACTGCTGAGTGTCTCACAATGTACAATCTGAGAATCACTGGTCCAGTCAACAGATGAAATAGAGTACTGAATGTCTAACAATGTACAATCTGAGAATCACTGGTCCAGTCAACAGATGAAATAGAGTACTGAATGTCTAACAATGTACAATCTGAGAATCACTGGTCCAGTCAACAGATGAAATAGAGTACTGAATGTCTAACAATGTACAATCTGAGAATCACTGGTCCAGTCAACAGATGAAATAGAGTACTGAATGTCTAACAATGTACAATCTGAGAATCACTGGTCCAGTCAACAGATGAAATAGAGTACTGAATGTCTAACAATGTACAATCTGAGAATCACTGGTCCAGTCAACAGATGAAATAGAGTACTGAATGTCTAACAATGTACAATCTGAGAATCACTGGTCCAGTCAACAGATGAAATAGAGTACTGAATGTCTAACAATGTACAATCTGAGAATCACTGGTCCAGTCAACAGATGAAATAGAGTACTGAATGTCTAACAATGTACAATCTGAGAATCACTGGTCCAGTCAACAGATGAAGTAGATTACTGAATGTCTAACAATGTACAATATGAGAATCACTGGTCCAGTCAACAGATGAAATAGAGTACTGAATGTCTAACAATGTACAATCTGAGAATCACTGGTCCAGTCAACAGATGAAATAGAGTACTGAATGTCTAACAATGTACAATCTGAGAATCACTGGTCCTGTCAACAGATGAAATAGAGTACTGAATGTCTAACAATGTACAATCTGAGAATCACTGGTCCTGTCAACAGATGAAATAGAGTACTGAATGTCTAACAATGTACAATCTGAGAATCACTGGTCCTGTCAACAGATGAAATAGAGTACTGAATGTCTAACAATGTACAATCTGAGAATCAATAACCTAGCCAAGAAAAAGGAGAATAGATTCCTGAATGTCTTCAAATGTACAAAGAGAAAGGAGAGTAGATTCCTGAATGTCTTCAAATGTACAAAGAGAAAGGAGAGTAGATTCCTGAATGTCTTCAAATGTACAAAGAGAAAGGAGAGTAGATTCCTGAATGTCTTCAAATGTACAAAGAGAAAGGAGAATAGATTCCTGAATGTCTTCAAATGTACAAAGAGAAAAGAGAGTAGATTCCTAAATGTCTTCAATGTACAAAGAGAAAGGAGAGTAGATTCCTGAATGTCTTCAAATGTACAAAAAGAAAGGAGAGTAGATTCCTGAATGTCTTCAAATGTACAAAGAGAAAGGAAAGTAGATTCCTGAATGTCTTCAAATGTACAAAGAGAAAGGAGAGTAGATTCCTGAATGTCTTCAAATGTACAAAGAGAAAGGAGAGTAGATTCCTAAATGTCTTCAATGTACAAAGAGAAAGAAGAGTAGATTACTGAATGTCTTCAAATGTAAACATTGAGAATCATTGGCCCAGCCAAACTGACTGGAGGTAAAAGAGACAAGTAAAAGTCTTACTTGTGCCTGATACATCGTCCCAGGGCCTGGTTGAGTGCCCTAAAGGCTTGGATCTCGTACCACTCGCTGCCTGACAGCAGGCCTCGACTCTGCCGGTGTTGGTCGTTGTACTTTCTCTTGAGTTCTACCTGGGAAGGAGAGAATACTGGGTAATATATTCTATGCTGAAACCTAACACATGATATCTGCAGACTGACTCTTGATACATGGGGGATGATTGTAGTGTCATGTCTTGATACATGGGGGGGGGGGGGGGGGGGAAGGGGGGGGGGGGGGGGTGATTGTAGTGTCATGTCTTGATACATGGGGGATGATTGTAGTGACATGTCTTGATACATGGGGGATGATTGTAGTGTCATGTCTTGATACATGGGGGATGATTGTAGTGTCATGTCTTGATACATGGGGGATGATTGTAGTGTCATGTCTTGATACACGGGGATGATTGTAGTGACATGTCTTGATACATGGGGGATGATTGTAGTGTCATGTCTTGATACACGGGGATGATTGTAGTGACATGTCTTGATACATGGGGGATGATTGTAGTGACATGTCTTGATACATGGGGGATGATTGTAGTGTCATGTCTTGATACACGGGGATGATTGTAGTGACATGTCTTGATACATGGGGATGATTGTAGTGTCATGTCTTGATACATGGGGATGATTGTAGTGTCATTTCTTGATACTTGGCGATGATTGTAGTGTCATGTCTTGATACATGGGGATGATTGTAGTGTCATGTCTATGACCAGTGCCTCATGGGAAATGAGAATGATTGTAGCATCATGTCTATGATTAGTTTTATAGGGAATAATAAGAATGATCGTAATGTCATGTCTATGACTGACATTTTATTTGGGGGTGATTATAATGTTAGGCCTACAACTGATGTAATGGGAATGATTGTAATGTTATGTCTGTGACTGGTGTGTCATGGGAATGACTGTAATGTCATGTCTATGAATGGTGTGTCATGGGAATGATTGTAATGTAATGTTTATGAATGGTGTGTCATGGGAATGATTGTAATGTCATGTCTATGACTGGTGTGTCATGTCTATGAATGGTATGTCATGGGAATGATTGTAATGTCATGTCTATGACTGGTGTGTCATAGGAATGATTGTAATGTCATGTCTATGACTGGTGTGTCATGGGAATGATTGTAATGTCATGTCTATGACTAGTGTGTCATGGGAATGATTGTAATGTCATGTCTATAACTGATGTGTCATGTCTATGAATGGTGTGTCACGGGAATTATTGTAATGGCATGTCTATGACTGGTGTGTCATGGGGAGTACTGCAGTGCCATGTTTATGATTGCCATTTTATCGGGATGACTGTGGTGTCATGTTTATAATGTACTGTTAGATAAATTATGAATCAACTGGACAAATCTTCTTCTAAATAACACAGGAAACAGTTCTACACCAGGCAGGACTTACCTGGACATCCTTGAAGTTGGGGTAAGGTATGCCCACCTGCAGAGACATCAGAAGGCACACATGTCATATTTATGTATATCTATGTGTCACAGGGACACCAGAAGGCAGACATGTCACATTTATGTATATATATGTGTCACAGGGACACCAGAAGGCACATATGTCACATTTATGTATATCTATGTGTCACAGGGACACCAGAAGGCACACATGTCACATTTATGTATATCTATGTGTCACAGGGACACCAGAAGGCACATATGTCACATTTATGTATATCTATGTGTCACAACAATAAAACGCACGTATGCATGTATGTATGTCTATGGGTACTGCCGTGGTGTAGCAGCTAAACACTTGCCTGGGGATCAGAAGGTTCAAACTCGCATTGTGCTCATTAATTTTTTTTCCTTTTCTTCCAACATGACCTAAGCTTGCACGTCAACCTAGCCTTAAATGGGTACCAGGCAAAGAACTGGGAAGTAAAGGTGGCTGGCATGGTTCTGGTCACATCCCCCATCGAGGGCCGATTGGTCTATAAAATGAGTTTAGCCTCAGATGCCTGCTGCCCCACCGGCGTGTAAAGGGACCTTGACTTATTTTTTTTAAAGCAAGTGCAGAAAAGGCTGCATGAAATAAAGCTGAAGTCAAGAGAACTGACTTCACTGCACCAAGTTTAATCCCATATGGGCCGGCCTCTCACGGCAGAATGGCTTGCTGCCTTAAACAAACATGAACTCCTGACTTAGTTGAGGTTTCAACTTCACTGCAATCAGGTCACCCCATACTTGCTCCATTCCTGTGCCAGTGAAAAATCAAATAAAATGTTCCCCACTGTCCCATTTAAAAAAAAACTGGTGAACAAACAAATGTCTTGGTACAATCTAGAAATATGTGCATGCAATAAATGCATATGGCAGTTGATAGAGGCTCCAAAGCCAACCAAAAATACAGATTGTTGTTGATGGAAGAAGTCAGTCACAATAAGTTGGCCTTAAAAAGTGTAGAATTATTTAATAAGGTATTTTACCAGCCAACACGTAAATGGACTAACAGCCATATTGGATACCATGACACAACCGCTGCACAAATAAAAAGCATTCTAAATTTGGAGAAAAAAAAGAAGAAAAAAGCTCACAGTGCTGCACCAAGCACTATATTCAGTAGCTCAGGCAGCGAACCCATAGACTACAATCCATACGTGGAAACTGCATTAGCAAAGTGCTGTTAGAAGCAAAAACAACTTCGAAGCTAAACATTATGATATGTCCAGTCCTCCATTTTGGACCGGAAGCCATAGATTAGCAGTAATTACTTTAAGCACTAGACTTACAGTAATGACAGCTCGAGCAAAGTTATCAGCAAAGTCCAGACCTTCACTCACTTTCCCGCGGCACACGGCAAAAAATATTGCGCCATCTGTGAATAGGTGAGCACATCTGTTAAACTGAGACAAGTCCTGGCCAACCGGATGGTGTCATTTGACCACAGAAAACAATTCTATTAACCATCCCACTGAAAAACAACAACTTGGTAAATAACAATGCAAAAGAATGACCAACAGAGAACATTACAGTAAATAGAGAGAGCGATATTAGAAAAAGCTTTCCTATCTTAGACATGCAGTAACAGGTGATGGCAGAATGTTGAAGAATCGACATCACAGCACTCAGGACACTCCCTTAAGTGCTCAGTCCTTTATCTTCAGCAGCAAGCAAAGAGTTCCCATTCGGATGGTACCAGTAACCGTCTAATTGTATATAATTTCATCCTTCCCCTGAGTGTTGAGCATCGGCCAGATCCCCTGGTAACTCCTCCCAGCGCCATTCTACTCAGACCGTAATGATCTATCTGCTCCGGAAGCAGACTCCCATTGATCCAGAACACTCTTGCTTTCGGTACACACAAATGTTCCCACCCGAGATGTAAGACATGTCACTTTGTCAAGCAGACATCTTCCCTTAGATTCCCGAAAGATGTCTTTCAAATTGGAGAAGTATTTAAACTCCTCACAGCGCCATTCTACTCAGACCGTAATGATCTATCTGCCCCTCCGCACTGTTCATTCGCACCCAAAAGGCCCCCACAATATCTAATTTGGTAATCCATCAATTCACCCCCAAGTGGTGCAGAGCCAGCCAGTCTATCTGCCTGCTCATTTCCCAACACACCGGCATCACCTGAAGAAAATATCCAAAGGACTTATGATGGCAGAAGTGAGATAAAAATTAAAAATCAAAAAGGTAATAGGAATGGCTGAAACTATCTTTCAAATCGAACCGAGTCTCTGAACATGTGAATATATAGAAAAATAGGTTGTAATTCATGGAAACAAAAAACAATAAAATACAGAGATTCTGGAAAGATGCGAGTGAAAAGAGAATTAATGAGTTATTAAAGAAAGAGAAACAATTTTAAAATTTGGCTACATTAAAACTCATAATACATTTTAAAAACCATATAGGAAGGAAAGACTGAGGGCAAGACAGCAAGAGGTAGACAACGATTCAAGTGAAAGGACAACATCAAGAGATGGATGAGCAGTCGTCTGAGAAAGTGTACAACCAAGACAAGAGACATAGTTTGCTGGAGATCAAGTACAGCCAAGTTTCATTGGGGAGCGGCACATGACTGATTGAACCATCCCATTAAACAAAGCACTCAACTACAAACCCGGCGAGAACACAGACATGACCTTACACATTTTCTATCAACACAGGTTCCAGACAGCTAGCACCTTTTTCATATTTTCTTGAGTAGTGTCCAGGTTTCACTGCCACAAAGAAGCGGGCTCAGGAGGTTGTTGTGGGCGGGGTTTTAAGAGTACGCTAATTAGGAGTGTTTCCTTTAAAGTGGGAGCACAAGTGCCTGAAGTGGGGAACCAACAGTCTGCATACAAATTAGCCAGATATATGAAACAAATGTGCACTCAAAACTCAGGTTCTGGAACAAGATCAAAATCCAGAAGTGGATGAACAACCAGAACTTTCTGTTGTAGTTTACAGCCAGTGAAGGTGAAGCAGGGGGAGGAGGAGGAGAAGAAGAAGAAGAAGAAGAAGAAGAAGAAGAAGAAGAAGAAGAAGAAGAAGAAGAAGAAGAAGAAGAAGAAGAAGAAGAAGAAGAAGAAGAAGAAGAAGAAAAGAAGAAAGAAGAGGAGGAAGAAGAAGAAGAAGTAGAAGAAGAAGAAGAAAAGAAGAAAGAAGAGGAAGAAGAAGAAGAAGAAGAAGAAGAAGAAGAAGAAGAAGAAGAAGAAGAAGAAGAAGAAGAAAAGAAGAAAGAAGAGGAAGAAGAAGAAGAAGAAGAAGAAGAAGAAGAAGAAGAAGAAGAAGAAGAAGAAGAAGAAGAAGAAGAAAAAGAAGAAATTCTGTCCTAGGTAAGCAGACTAAGAACAACATTACTGCATGTCCTAGCTGCCACTCAGACACACAGAACAAAATGTAACCTGTGTTTGTCCCTCCCACACCATCTAACTGTGGGGTCAAGGCTTCATAGAACTGATTAAGCTGATCCTCAAAATTGAGCTTGTCCGAGTTTCTGGGTTCTCTGATGACTGTTTTGCACTGGTCCAGCTTTCTCTTCAGGCCGGTACTCTGATGATGATAGTTGTATAGATGACAAGATCAGGATTACTGTTATATACATGGTGGGTATAATCTGTCTGTCTACAAATGACAGGATCATGATGAGTATAATCTGTCTATCTACAAATGACAGGATCATGATGGGTATAATCTGTCTATCTACAAATGACAGGATCATAATGGGTATAATCTGTCTATCTGCAAATGACAGGATCATGGTGGGTATAATCTGTCTATCTACAAATGACAGGATCAGGATGACTGTTATATACATGATGGGTATAATCTGTCTATCTACAAATGACAGGATCAGGATGACTGTTATATACATGGTGGGTATAATCTGTCTATCTACAAATGACAGGATCAGGATGACTGTTATATACATGATGGGTATAATCTGTCTATCTACAAATGACAGGATCATGGTGGGTATAATCTGTCTATCTACAAATGACAGGATCAGGATGACTGTTATATACATGATGGGTATAATCTGTCTATCTACAAATGACAGGATCAGGATGACTGTTATAAACATGGTGGGTATAATCTGTCTATCTACAAATGACAGGATCAGGATGACTGTTATATACATGGTGGGTATAATCTGTCTATCTACAAATGACAGGATCAGGATGACTGTTATATACATGGTGGGTATAATCTGTCTATCTACAAATGATAGGATCAGGATGACTGTTATATACATGATGGGTATAATCTGTCTATCTACAAATGACAGGATCAGGATGACTGTTATATACATGGTGGGTATAATCTGTCTATCTACAAATGACAGGATCAGGATGACTGTTATATACATGATGGGTATAATCTGTCTATCTACAAATGACAGGATCAGGATGACTGTTATATACATGATGGGTATAATCTGTCTATCTACAAATGACAGGATCAGGATGACTGTTATATACATGGTGGGTATAATCTGTCTATCTACAAATGACAGGATCAGGATGACTGTTATATACATGATGGGTATAATCTGTCTATCTACAAATGACAGGATCAGGATGACTGTTATATACATGGTGGGTATAATCTGTCTATCTACAAATGACAGGGCCATGATGGGTATAATCTGTCTATCTACAAATGACAGGATCATGATGGGTATTATCTATCTACAAATGACAGGGCCTTGATGGGTATAATCTGTCTATCTACAAATGACAGGGCCATAATGACTGTTATAAAGGCATATGCATTAGAGGTATAATCTATGTATAGATAACAGATGAGTATAATCTATTTATGTACAGATGACAGATAGGTAAATAGAGCTGGCAGATGGATATAATCTATTTGCATACAGATACCAGAGCGGTATAGTCTATGTACAGATGGCAGATAACAATAATCTATGTGAATACCAAGGATTGGTACAATTTATGTACATATGAAAGATGTGTATAATCTATGTACAATTAAAGACAGAATTTATCTACGTATCAAAAAAAAATATGAGTACATATCAAATATGGGAATAATATATGTACATATCCAAGATGGGAATAACCTTTTTACACATCAATGACGGGAATAATCTATGTACATATCAAAGATAGGAATAATCTGTGTACATATCAAAGATGGGAATAATTTACACACATATTAAAGATGGGAATAATCTATGTACATATCAAAGATGCGAATAATATGTTTACATATCAAAGATGGGAATAATCTGTGTGCATATCAAAGATGGGAATAATCTGTGTGCATATCAAAGATGGGAATAATCTGTGTGCATATCAAAGATGGGAATAATCTGAGTGCATGTCAAAGATGGGAATAATCTGTGCACATGTCAAAGATGGTAATAATATATAAACAGACAACAGCAAACATAATAAAAGACGCATGCAGATGACATGTAATTCTCACTCTTGACATCTCTCCCACCTGTTATTCTCGCTTCCGACATCTTTCCAATTTGTTATCCTCATTTTTGATCTCCCTCATCTATCTGTTATTTCACTCAGTATCTACCACCCATCTGTTACCCTCACTCAACCACTACTTTCCATCTATAATCCTCACTCAATACTACCTCCCATCTGTTATTCTCACTTAGTGCCTACCTCCTATTAGCCATTCTCACTTAGTACCTACCTCCCATCAGTACCCTCAGTACCTACGTCCCAACAGTTACCCTCAGTACCTACGTCCCAACAGTTACCCTCAGTACCTACCTCCCAACAGTTACCATCAGTACCTACCTCCCATCAGTTACTCTCAGTACCTAACTCCCATCAGTTACCCTCAGTACCTACCTCCCAACAGTTACCCTCAGTACCTACCTCCCAACAGTTACCCTCAGTACCTACCTCCCATCAGTTACCCTTAGTACCTACCTCCCATCAATTATCCTCAGTACCTACCTCCCATCAATTACCCTCAGTACCCACCTCCCAACAGTAACCCTCAGTACCTACCTCCCAACAGTTACCCTCAGTACCTAACTCCCATCAGTTCCCCTCAGTACCTAACTCCCATCAGTTACCCTCAGTACCTACTTCCCATCAGTTACAATCAGTGCCTAACTCCCATCAGTTACCCTCAGTACCTACCTCCCATCAGTTACCCTCAGTACCTACCTCCCATCAGTCACCCTCAGCACCTACCTCCCATCAGTTATCCTCACTTATACCTACCTCCCATCAGTCACCCTCAGCACCTACCTCCCATCAGTTATCCTCACTTATACCTACCTCCCATCTGTGCATCAGCTTGTCCAAGACATTATATGAAGGCAGGAAACAAAGTACTCCATGTGGAACTATCTGAAAGCAACCACAGATGATCCACTTTAGAGATCATGTAGTCATGACACAATCTGGCCATTGATTTCATCTCTTGTGTGCTAGTGTTCAAGTGCTTGCATAAGACACAGCTGAATGTGCCAGTCTGTTTTCTCTCTCAACACCAATTTTTTTGGGGTCAATTGCCATCTTTTTTTCTCACATACATTAGTGTACCAGTCTGTCTCTTTCTCACACACATACCTTGATGTATGAATATCTATCTATCATCTATACATGTGTCTGTTTATCTATGCAATCTATATGTTGGGTAATCTATGTAATCTATGTGTCAGTTTATCTATGTGATCGTATCTATCCTCTTTATCTATCTAATATAATATAATCTAATCATCTATCTATCTGTCCGTCCATCTGTCTGTCTATCTATCTACATATCTATCTGTCCGGCTCGCTAGCATAGATGGTTAAACCTTACTTCGTGGTGACCAGGTGACGAGCTCCTTGTGGTCCTAGTACACTACCGGGGATAGCCAGAAAAGCCAGATTTACAGCATCTATCATGGAATCAAGGCCAAAGGGTTGCGATATCTATAGTACCGAGCCAAAGGGTTAACAACTCATGGTTTATAGATATTTTTTTTAAAAAGTCTATCTGTCTATCTACTTACCTCTCACACGCACGATGTATCAGCTTCTCACTTTATTTCCCTTCTACATATACTCATTAATGCACAAGTATGTTTTCCCTCTCACAAATTACTGCATTTGTCTCTGGTACTCTCTCTTTCTCTCTCTATCACAAACATGCATGCACGCACCAACCAATGTTTAAGTTTCTCACTCTCTCTTAGACACACACATATACACACACCAACAAGACAATCAGTCACCCACCTGACACACACATATACACACACCAACAAGACAATCAGTCACCCACCTGACACACACATATACACACACCAACAAGACAATCAGTCACCCACCTGACACACACATATACACACACCAACAAGACAATCAGTCACCCACCTGACACACACATATACACACACCAACAAGACAATCAGTCACCCACCTGACACACACATATACACACACCAACAAGACAATCAGTCACCCACCTGACAGACCTGCAGCACCAAGTTGCCAAGCTCATCCTGGAAGGCAAATGTCTCCAGATTTCTAAACACTGCTTGCAAAGTCGACCCGGAGGGTCCTCGCCCCAGGGTGCCCACCCAGACCTGAGACAGAAAGCAAAACAGACATCTACTTGAAATCTGCTCATTATGTGGAAGGCAATGGGAAACTATGGCTCCCAGGTCCACCCAGCCTTGTATGGGTGGTAGGTGAAGTCATGGGAAGTTAAGGCAGCCGGTGTAATGCTGGTCTATAAAACATAGGTCTAGCTGTGTGTGTCCAACACACCTGAAAGTGAGAGAAGGGGTCCTTAACATTTTACAACAGAGAACTATGGTAACAGCAGCTTGAGAGCAGCACAGCCCAACATGTGGTCATTGTAACAGACTCACAGCATGCTTCAGAAACACAGAAACTGGCGCCCTATGCATAATGTGGCATGCTTCGCTTGTTAAAATGGGATCAGGAGCATATCATAGGTTTTCTGTTGAGGACATTCAGGTGTGCGGGGTAATGAACAGGCTGACAGACTGGCTGCTGCCACTCCTATGGGGGGTGAGTTACGTTACGATAAAGCAGAAGTTGTGAAGGCTCTCTGGGATCAAGTCCACAGTGCAATAGAACAGACCAAGGATCCAAACACTGACAGGCTAATTCAGCCAGGTGTGAGCAGGGGGTCGGGAAGGTATTCAACCCTGCAAGGGAAAAAATAGGCAGATCTTTAATCAGGTTGCAACAGGTACTATCAGTATATCGACAAAGCGAACGAAAGAAAAAGAAATATATCGACTCTTCATTAGCTACTGAAAAAAAAGATGGAACACGTGGGAATGTCCCGAGTGCATGGATGCAAATTCTTAAATATTCATTCATTCAGTAAGTGACCACTGAAAACCATAGCTAGTGACACCACACTCATGTTGAGTCAGAAATTGACATCACAGAACTCGAGGCATTCCCATGTGTGCTCCGTTCTCATCTTCAGCAGCCAGTGCAGAGTTTCAATACAGATGGTACCGGTCACAATCTGGTTATACGTCCATCTTGTCTTTCCTTTGAGTGTAGTGAGCCGGCCTGACCCTCTGTTTAGACTCAGGTGCTCATTCTCTCCAGACTATCTTCTGGTTCTGATGCTTGTAAACAACACACATGCTGACTGACACACATGCTGACTGACACACATGCTGACTGACATACATGTTGACTGACACACATGTTGACTGACACACAAGTTGACTGACACACATGTTGACTGACACACATGTTGACTGACACATTTGACTGACACACATGTTGACTGACACATGTTGACTGACACACGTGCTGACTGACAGACAACATCTGCAAACTAAAGGCAGCTGACCTGGGAGTCATCGATGACGTGGTTTGTCTCCAGCTGGATTTTAAACTCCAAACCCAGTTCTGACTGGAAGGAGGACATGGGGGACAGTGTTCCGCTGGTCAGGATAATGCTGCGTGTCTCTGAGAAATCAGAGAATGCCTGGAATGAAGAGAACATCATAAATGTGCACTTCTAAAAAACTTAACTTTGGGAGCTGCAGAAATTTAGTAGCTAGAAATTCACCTGCCAGCCCAAAGGTTATGTGTTTAAATTCTTAAAACCAGGAAGGCTAACCAGGTCAACAAATGCCCGCAGAAGTCGAATGTGTTGGCCAAAAGGTGCAAATATCGCAGCCATGCCGTAAACGCAATTACATGTTCCGATGAACGCAGAAGAAGAAGAAGAAGAAGAAGAAGAAGAAGAAGAAGAAGAAGAAATCCACACAGTGGCAAATTTAAATTTTAGAAAACAAAAACTTACTCACCATTTTTTTCACATGGACAAGATTTTTTTTTTTTTTAAGTTATACTCAAAACCGGTTTTGCTGAGTGGGTCCCAAGGCTAGAGTTTGGAGAATCAATAACAGACGCACTGCCCCTATAACAACTATAATGTAGAGGGGCAACTATTAGGGGTGTTTCCTTCACAATCTGAAGGTATCTGTCCGAGAGGCAAGAAATAAACAGTCTGCATACAAGAACAAGTTCTGGATCAAGACTAAAGTCCAGGAGAGGACAAACAAAAAGAAATCTCTGCCGGAGTGTACAGTCAGTGAACGGGAAGAAAAATAAGACCAGTATAAACAGGGTACCAAGTAACATTCTGGGGAGTAAAGGTGGTCAGTGTGATGCTGACCATATCACACATCAAGTGCTTACTGGTCTATAAAAAATATAGTTACAACATTATACATCCGATGAGCCAAAAGTGAGAAATCTGTCTTTTATTTACTTTACTGTGGGTTTTTTAACTGGCATATCAAGAAGTGGAGTAGGTCAACAGTCAAGGTCATGTTTGAGTCTACTGACACACTTACACTGGTCAATCTACTGACACACTTACACTGGTCAATCTACAAACACACTAACATTGGTCAATCTACAAACACACACACTGGTCAATCTACCAACACACTTACACTGGTCAATCTACTGACACTTACACTGGTCAGTCTACTGACACACTTACACTGGTCAATCTACTGACACACTTACACTGGTCAATCTACTGACACACTTACACTGGTCAGTCTACTGACACACTTACACTGGTCAATCTACAAACACACACACTGATCAATCTACCAACCCACTTACATTGGTCAATCTACAAACACACTTACACTGGTCAATTTACCAACACACTTAACTGGTCAACAAACACACTTACCACTCCAGGATTCATACACCAGAAGTTGAGAGTATACACATCCACCTGTACCTGAGTTCTACCTGATTAAAGTGTGGAAAACAAAGTAACTATATTGGACACACACAAACAAAAGTAATCAAAGAGAGGCTCAAGAATACAGGAAACTATACATACAGGTAATGGATAGACTCTTGAGAGTCACAATAAACAAGCCAAAAACAGTCTCAACTCTCTTCTCTCTTTCCACAAAGTTAGAACAACTTTATCTGTACCTAGAAGGCAACATCCTTCCAAAAGAGGAAAACCCCACATATTTGGGAGTAAAATTCAACCTCACATTAAAGAAACCCAAAGAAAAGTTACTTGCAGCTCAGACTTGAACAAACTTACTGGAACAAGCTGGGGTGCAGATGCCAATATAGTACGACAAGTATACACAGGATACGTATGACCAAAACTGGAGTATGGCATGGGAGCATACTCCACTGCAGGTAAATCAAACCTATACAAACCGGATAAAATACAGAACGTCGGTCTCAGAATCATCACTGGAGGTAAGAGAAGGGAGGTAAGAGAAGCACACCAGTCAATGAGCTGGAGGTGACTTCTGGCCTGCAGAGCTTGAGTCATCGAAGGGTAGAAAAAATGCTTACCATAACAGAAACATTTTAACGCATGAACAACAACATCATGCACACAACTTGATAGCAAACAACTTAACTAAAAAACCAACTGAAAAGACAAAGCTTTTACTATCTATCAAAATTGTACTATACAAAAAAACAGTGACAACCTTTTAAAAGATCCTTCAACGTGAGAAATGGTCCAGGCATACAGCATAGAAATACAGCCTAACTATACAGTCACAACAACAATCCCAGGCATAGACAGAAAGGCTGAAGAATGTGACAAAGTACTGCATGCAGAGACCCTTGAACATGTCTACAACTGTTACCCAAATCCCGAATGGACACATGTATACACCGACGAATCATTGGAGGGAGCAGAAGAAAAAAAAACGGAGCAGCTGGATCGGTCATCATGCTGCAAGATGGGACCACAGTAGAAACGCTATACGCCTCCGGAAGACTCTCAACAAACATCAGCGCATAGCAGCAAGCAATTACTGATGTAACCAAAGTGTTTGATGAAAGAAAAATTTGAAAACAGCAACATTTTTTTCCTTTGTTACTGCAGGTCAGTCCTCCAGGTGACTCAGAGGGATCTACGAGACAACATGGAGAGAGAACTGACCCGCCAGCTTAACAGACTCAGCAAACAAACTGAATGCAAAGAAGAAGACAAAGAAAAAGAAGAAATAGAAGCAGTGCACATGTGCGTTCTGTGGCTCCATTACAGTGGAGAAAAAGATAGACCCAATGTCTTTTTAACCCTTCTGCTCCAAGATAAAAAAAATCAAGTCACTTCTGGTTGTGCCTCATGCCCGTAAATGCCATGCATACAGGGCTAGACCTATATTTTTATAGACCAATCGGCACAAGATGGGTGATGTGGTCAGCATCCCGCCGGCTGCCTTTACTTCACAGGACTGCACCCGGTACCCACTCAAGGCTGGGTCGACCTGGAAGTCAAGGCCATTTTTGAAAGAAAAAAAAAGTCTGGCTCTGCCAGGGAGCGAACCCACTACCTTCCAATCCACACGCGGGCGTATAGCCGCTACACCACGGCAACTCACACATATGAGTAGGACATGAGTAAACAGTCTCATTACTGTAGGAGAAACCCTGCTGGGAGTACAAGCCCATATTTAACTCTGTATTCAGGGGGGATGGAGTGATTCTTGTGCTCATTCTTGGAGGGATGGAGTGATTCTTGTGCTCATTCTTGGAGGGATGGAGTGATTCTTGTGCTCATTCTTGGAGGGATGGAGTGATTCTTGTGCTCATTCTTGGAGGGATGGAGTGATTCTTGTGCTCATTCTTGGAGGGATGGAGTGATTCTTGTGCTCATTCTTGGGGGGATGGAGTGATTCTTGTGCTCATTCTTGGAGGGATGGAGTGATTCTTGTGCTCATTCTTGGAGGGATGGAGTGATTCTTGTGCTCATTCTTGGAGTGCTGCTTAGAATCCTTATAATTTGTATATTTCTGATAAAGGGCATAAGCATATGTGACCAATGATGGCACGAGAGAAATATCTGTTTACAGACATAAGTGCTAGCTTTTTCGGTGCTTTATTAATATCCTACCCCAAATAAGGGAAATCTACAGGTCACGGGACAGTCTAATATTTCAGGGGGTGGTAGATAGCCTGCATGCAGTTGTGGGACCTAGGCTGCACTCTCTCGTGGTACATAGGTGGGATGGGGTTATGACTAGTTGTAGATGTTTTGGTGTCGTTAAAAGCACCAAAAAGCCGGGAAACCCAGTCTTACCACCCTCTAAAATGTTGGAATGACCTTTGATGACATCTGGGGTAAGATATTAATAAAGAACCATTATTCCATCTTCAATGTGAAACATAGGTGGAGCCTATATAAACTGTGAGAGGGTCTTTAACTAGATATTTCCCAGGTGTCCTCATTTTCTATGTCAGCAGGTCCCACCTACCATCTAGTTCCCACAACAGGAATGGCTGTCTTCTTATATAATAATAATATTTTGACAAAATACTGAACATAAAATTTGCCAAGAAAAACCACATCAGCCAAAAAAATGCTGGGGTTGGTTCTGCAACGTCCTGTAAAGGATAAGCAACTAACTTTTATATAATAATATTCTGGGACAATACTCTAGATACAATTATAGTCGAACCACTTCTGCAGTCTCTTGGCATTCCTGAGTTAGGAGTGATGGCTTCCTTGCTCTTTCCTATCACGACCGTCTGACATATTTGACTGTTTACAGCCGAACAGCCAGTGAACGCAAAGAAGTACACTAGGTTCTGCAAATCAAGAAACTACTCACCTCCATGAGATTTTCTGGAGTTCAGCCACTGATTGTCCTGCAAAAAAAATAAAGATGACAACAATAAACATGGGTGCAGGGGGAGGAGAAGAAGTAGAAGAAGAATCAAAAAGAAGAAGCAGCAGCAATAGAAGATGAAACGGAAGAGTTTAGAGGTTGAGGAAAATGAGGTCATGAGGGAGGATTGGGAGAGGTGGGAAAAAATTTTTAAAAGAAGTTAGAGGAGGAAGATGATGTTGAAGAAGGAAACAGGAGGATAAGAAAAAAAGATGATGAGCTGGAAAAGGAGGAACCAGAAGATGAAAGGGGAAAGAAAGGAAGAGAAATAGGACTGGTCAAAGAAAGGGTAAAAGAAGAGGAAAATAAAAAGATTGAAGATTTAAAAACTTCTTCTTCTTGGTTTTCACCAGCTGTAACCTCCGACAGAAAGTTCTGGTTGTTCGTCCACCTCTAGACTTTAGTCTTGCTCCAGAACCTGAGTGTTGTGTGCACATCTGTTTTACAGATCTGACTTATTTGTATGCAAACTGTTAGTTCCCCGTCCCTCAATTAGTCATCTCTTAAAACATTATTGTGGCAGTGGGTCTATTCTTATTTTTCCCACAGTGGGTTTCCAGAACCCGCCTGATGAAATTTTAACAACAGTTGTCTAGGACACTTACATTTGTGACAGGAACATAGCTGAACATCTGAACCAGAGAGGCCCTGTAAAAAAACACATGAAAACAAACTTTATTTTTAAAGAGTCACAAATGGGGCATAGGCCCGGCTTACATTTATCCCTTCCACATTTTCATCTTTCACACAGCAAGTGCATTTTATCTACACAAACATCACAATCAAGGTGTACCGTTAACCAGTATTAGAAAACACAGGAATCCCATTAACCAGTAATCTACCAAGAAGACAGGTGTACCACTCACCTGTAATCATCAACAAAGAAGACAGGTGTACCACTCACCTGTAATCATCAACAAAGAAGACAGGTGTACCACTCACCTGTAATCATCAACAAAGAAGACAGGTGTACCTCTTACCTGTAAGCATCAGCAAAGAAGATAGGTGTACAACTAACATGTAATCATCAACAAAGAAGACAGGTGAAACACTCATCTGTAATCATCAAAAAAGAAGACAGGTGTACCACTTACCTGTAAGCATCAACAAAGAAGATAGCTGTACCACTCACCTGTAATCATCAACATATTTTAGATCCAGTCTGTAGAGATAGTCCAATATCTGAAACATCTGCTCCAGGACCGTTTGAGTGGATGGTTTCATCGCCATCAGTTCTTTGCTTCTGCCAGATCGGGCCGCTGCCTCTTTTGCCATCTCTGCCTCCGACTTGACAGATGCTAGCGCCTCCTGGAAAAAAAAAACAGAACCTACAAGTTGACCACTGGTTGTTACAAACTTTCTCACAGCTTAAACTGGTACTTGTTTACAGTGGTGTTATCTGGCTCACAGTTCACTTTGGAGCTAGCAAGAAAGGCTGAGACAGGGATCATGCTATATGGTCAACACATTGTTATCTTATCACAATCGACGTCACTGTACATTTGGCATTCCCATGCATGCACAGTCCTTAGACACAGAAAGAGGTACTTAGTATCTAAGTAACAATGTAAATCTGTAAGACCGACCCAATCTATGTGACAATGTAAATCTGTAAGACTGACCCCAATCTATGTGACAACATAAGTCTGTTAGACTGACCCAATCTATGTGACAACATAAATCTGTAAGACTGACCTAATCTATGTAACAATATAAATCTGTAAGACTGACCCGATCAATGTGACAACATAAATCTGTAAGACTGACCCAATCTATGTGACAACATAAATCTGTAAGACTGACCCAATCTATGTGACAACATAAATCTGTAAGACTGACCCAATCTACATGACAACATAAATCTGCAAGACCGACTCAATCTATGTGACAACATAAATCTGTAAGACTGACCCAATCTATGTGACAACATAAATCTGTAAGACCGACTCAATCTATGTGACAACATAAATCTGTAAGACTGACCCAATCTATGTGACAACATAAATCTGTAAGACTGACCCAATCTATGTGACAACATAAATCTGTAAGACTGATGACCCAATCTATGTGACAACATAAATCTGTGAGACTGACCTAATCTATGTGACAACATAAATCTGTAAGACTGACCCAATCTATGTGACAACATAAATCTGTAAGACTGACCCAATCTATGTGACAACATAAATCTGTAAGACTGACCCAATCTATGTGACAACATAAATCTGTAAGACTGACCCAATCTACGTGACAACATAAATCTGCAAGACCGACCCAATCTATGTGTCAACATAAATCTGTAAGACTGACCCAATCTATGTGACACATAAATCTGCAAGACCGACCCAATCTATGTGACAACATAAATCTGTAAGACTGACCCAATCTATGTGACAACAAAAATCTGTAAGACTGACCCAATCTATGTGACAACAAAAATTCTGTAAGACTGACTCAATCTATATGACAACATAAATCTGTAAGACTCACCCAATCTATGTGACAACATAAATCTGTAAGACTGACCCAATCTATGTGACAACATAAATCTGTTAGACTGACCCAATCTATGTGACAACATAAATCTGTAAGACCGACCCAATCTATGTGACAACATAAATCTGTAAGACTGACCCAATCTATGTGACAACATAAATCTGTAAGACTGACCCAATCTATGTGACAACATAAATCTGTAAGACTGACCCAATCTATGTGACAACATAAATCTGTAAGACTGACCCAATCTATGTGACAACATAAATCTGTAAGACTGACCCAATCTATGTGACAACATAAATATGTTAGACTGACCCAATCTATGTGACAACATAAATCTGTAAGACTGACCCAATCTATGTGACAACATGAACCTGATAGACTAACCCAATCTATGTGACAACATGAACCTGATAGACTGACCAAATCTATGTGACGACAACATAAATCCGTAAGACTGACCCAATCTATGTGACAACATAAATCCATAAGACTGATCCAATCTATGTGACAATATAAATCTGTAAGACTGACCCAATCCAGTCTGTTAGAATGACCCAAAATAATCTGTTAGACTGACCCAATGTATGTGACAACATAAATCTGTTAGACTTACCCATCTATGTTACAATATAAATCTGTTAGGCTGACCCAATGTATGTGAAAACATAAATCTGTTAGACTGACCCATCTATGTGACAATATAAATCTGTTAGGCTGACCCAATCCAATTTGTTAGACTAACTCAATCTATGTGACAAAATAAGTCTGATAGCACAATCTGGTCTCAGGCTATGTGCCAATGTAAATCTGGTCTATGTCACATTAAAAATCAATTACACCGATGCAGACCCCGTCCACCATACCCTGTAAATGTGTGTACGGAAATTGACCTTGTAAATGTTTGTTACAACTGACTGTAAATGTGTGCTACAGCTGACCTTGTAAATGTGTGCTACAACTGACCTTGTAAATGTGTGCTACAACTGACCTTGTAAATGTGTGCTACAGCTGACCTTGTAAATGTGTGCTACAACTGACCTTGTAAATGTGTGCTACAACTGACCTTGTGAATGAGCGCTACAAGTAACCTTGTAAATGTGTGCTACAACTGACCTTGTAAATGTGTGCTACAGCTGACCTTGTAAATGTGTGCTACAGCTGACCTTGTAAATGTGTGCTAGAGCTGACCTTGTAAATGTGTGCTATGAGTGAACTTGTAAATGTGTGCTACAGCTGACCTTGTAAATGTGTGCTGCAACTGACCTTGTAAATGTGTGCTACAGCTGACCTTGTAAATGTGTGCTACAGCTGACCTTGTAAATGTGTGCTACAGCTGACCTTGTAAATGTGCACTACAGCTGACCATGTAAATGTGCGCTACAACTGACCTTGTAAATGTGTGCTACAGCTGACCTTGTAAATGTGTGCTACAGCTGACCTTGTAAATGTGTGCTACAGCTGACTTTGTAAATGTGTGCTACAGCTGACCTTGTAAATGTGTGCTACAGCTGACCTTGTAAATGTGTGCTACAGCTAACCTTGTGAATGTGCGCTACAGCTGACTTTGTAAATGTGTGCTACAGCTGACCTTGTAAATGTGTGCTACAGCTAACCTTGTAAATGTGCGCTACAGCTGACCTTGTAAATGTGCGCTACAAGTGTCCTTGTGAATGTGTGCTACAACTGACCTTGTGAATGTGTGCTACAACTGACCTTGTAAATGTGTGCTACAGCTGACCTTGTAAATGTGTGCTTTAATTGACCTTGTAAATGTGTGCTACAATTGACCTTTAAATGTGTGCTGACTGACCTCGTGAATGTGTGCTACAACTGACCTTGTAAATGTGTGCTACAGCTGACTTTGTAAATGTGTGCTACAGCTGACCTTGTAAATGTGTGCTACAGCTGACCTTGTAAATGTGTGCTTTAATTGACCTTGTAAATGTGTGCTACAATTGACCTTTAAATGTGTGCTGACTGACCTCGTGAATGTGTGCTACAACTGACCTTGTAAATGTGTGCTACAGCTGACTTTGTAAATGTGTGCTACAGCTGACCTTGTAAATGTGTGCTACAGCTGACCTTGTAAATGTGTGCTACAGCTGACCTTGTAAATGTGTGCTACAGCTGACCTTGTAAATGTGTGCTACAGCTGACCTTGTAAATGTGCGCTACAAGTGTCCTTGTGAATGTGTGCTACAGCTGACCTTGTAAATGTGTGCTACAACTGACCTTGTGAATGTGTGCTACAACTGACCTTGTGAATGTGCGCTACAACTGACCTTGTAAATGTGTGCTACAACTGACCTTGTAAATGTGTGCTACAGCTGACCTTGTAAATGTGTGCTACAGCTAACCTTGTAAATGTGTGCTACAGCTAACCTTGTAAATGTGCGCTACAGCTGACCTTGTAAATGTGTGCTACAACTGACCTTGTAAATGTGCGCTACAGCTGACCTTGTAAATGTGTGCTACAACTGACCTTGTAAATGTGCGCTACAACTGACCTTGTAAATGTGTGCTACAACTGACCTTGTAAATGTGTGCTACAGCTAACCTTGTAAATGTGTGCTACAGCTGACCTTGTAAATGTGTGCTACAGCTAACCTTGTGAATGTGTGCTACAACTGACCTTGTAAATGTGTGCTACAGCTAACCTTGTGAATGTGTGCTACAGCTGACCTTGTAAATGTGTGCTACAGCTAACCTTGTGAATGTGTGCTACAACTGACCTTGTAAATGTGTGCTACAGCTAACCTTGTGAATGTGTGCTACAACTGACCTTGTAAATGTGTGCTACAGCTAACCTTGTAAATGTGTGCTACAGCTGACTTTGTAAATATGCGCTACAAGTGTCCTTGTAAATGTGTGCTACAACTGACCTTGTAAATGTGTGCTACAACTGACCTTGTAAATGTGTGCTACAACTGACCTTGTGAATGTGCGCTACAACTGACCTTGTAAATGTGTGCTACAACTGACCTTGTAAATTTTTGCTACAGCTGACCTTGTAAATGTGTGCTTTAATTGACCTTGTAAATGTGTGCTACAATTGACCTTTAAATGTGTGCTGACTGACCTCGTGAATGTGTGCTACAACTGACCTTGTAAATGTGCGTTACAACTGACCTTGTACTCTGGGAACTGACGAGGTCCCAGGCCGAGCGTCTCCAGCTGAGCCACAATGTGAAATCCTGTCCAGATTTTGTAAGACCTGTCGTACTCTTTCTGTTCCAGCGTTGACTTGTTAGCGTCAATAAACATGTCTAGATTCTTCAACTGAAAGGACACACATAAAAAAACAGTTGTACATAAGAAAACAATCTGTTGATGTATAAGACACACTTTCGTTCAGGCCTTAAAATTAGGCTGCATCTTATACAGCAAAGGTAGGCCTCCATGTACCAATAATTTTCATAGATGCCACAATATGGCAACAAGATAGTAAGCTGCATTCCTACAAAATGATTTTTAAACTCCAATGATCTTTTTTTTTTTACGTATCCAGAAACCATGAGTTGTAAACCCTTTGGCTCGGTACTATGGATATCGCAACCCTTCGGCATTGATTCCATTATAGGTACCGTTAATCTGGGAGAAATGTGGCTTTTCTGCCTACCCCCGGGAGTGAACCCGGACCACAAGGAGTTCGTCACCCTGCCGCCGCGAAAGTCAGGTTTAACCAACTTCGCTAGGAAGAGCATGGCAACTGGCCAGCAGAACATCGTTTCAGACTTTCACTTTCACCAAGCAAAAAAAAAAAAAAAAAAGCAAAAGGCAGGGTGTGTTGAGCAAAATGAACAAAAGAAAGCATGCACAACGTGGAAAAAGTGCAAAATGGCCAGAATGTATCCTACCAAGTGCCCAGGGTGTATAACTTGCTCTGGTCCCACACAAGAGCTCCCTCTGTCGACAAAACAACTATAAGGTTTCTACAGGAGAGCTAAGAGAGGCCAATGACAATAGAAACATCACTATAAATAACAATGTCTACCAGCACTGTAATATACTACACCATGCCAAGTATGACCTTGTACTGCAGTCAGTCTCTTCATTATTCATTATTAGAGAACACATTGTAACGAAGATGAACTGGTGATTTGCCAAACTACTGGCCATCTACTACTGCCTTCTAAGTACACACTGGCATACTTCCAAGGTGGATCACCTCAAAGGGCGATACCACAGCTTGCTCCAGCAGTCAGGCCAAACAGGTCTACGGAAATTCCTGTTCTGTTAGGCTGGTCTGTGCTCACCATCGTTACTGAGTAAATTTATACACAAATTAAACTATAGTTTAATTAACTTGCAATATATTTTTTTGACTGAATTATCATTTTGAAGATAAATAAGTGAGCCATGAGAAAACAGAATAAAAATGATAATAAAATATTCAATAAAATATGTTGCAAGTTAATTAAACTGTAGTTTAATATGTGTAAAAATTTACTCTATAACAACGGTGAGCACAGACAGGCCCAACAAAACGGGAATTTCCGTAGACCTGTTTGGCTTTACTGCTAGAGCTGGCCGTTGGTGACATCTAGCCTCGACGGGAGTCCACAACACCCAAAACACATTCGGCATACAGGCCCACTCTTGGGGTCACCAGTAATCCACAACAGTAATTATCGCCATTTAAGCCAGGCTAACCTTTGGGGAAGCAGATCAAGAGTGCTGCCATCAAAAGACCCGCAAGGTTATATATAAAAGCCACTGACACTGGTCAAGACTGGGAAATATAATCAGTCAGTTAACACAGTGGTCAGATCAAGTGTTGGGATCTCACCGTCTCGTCTCAAATAACTACTCATCTGTAGCATTACGAATAATACACCAAATTCTCCAACCGAATAAAATAATACTTCTGCCAGACGGACAGATTTTGTTTGTCTGTTGAAACACATAACAGACATATTGAATTAAAAGTAATGGATACATAAATATACTGAAATTAATTATTTAAATAAATTATAATATAAATTATAATTAAGTATTTCTAAAATAAACTCACTGCCACCCTAACAAGCCTGTCGTACAATGTGACTAATTAGGGGTTTCTTTCCTCTGAAGTCAGAGTGCATCTGCCTGAGAGGCTAGGAACTAACAGTCTGCACACAAAAAGCCAGATTTGTAACATGTATGTACACATAAAAACTTAAGTTCTGGAACAAGATCAAAGTCCAGAAATGAATGAACAACATAACTTTTTGCCAGAGTTTACATTCGGTGAAAACTAAGAAGAAGAGTATGCAAATGAAGACCAGTTGAGAAGGAGAGGTGTGTCCATCTTACCATAGATCTCAGTTTGGAGTGGTCAGCCAAGTTGATGTTTGCCTCCACTGAAAGAAATACCAAACAAAAAAACCGAGGCGTTACTTTTAATCCACTGATTACATAATTCTCTCTAGAGTTCACAATGTCCTATCATCATTATTATCGCAGAGAGGCAATGGTATAGCGGCCAGATGCTTGCCTGCGGATCAGAAGGTCGTGGGTTCCGGTCCTGGTGGAGCCCAGATATTTATCAAAAATGGCCTCCCAGGTTGACCCAGCTTAAAGTGGATACCAGATATAGTCCTGGGAAGTAAAGGCGGCTGGCGTGATGCTGACTATATCACCCCTTCCCCCCAGTGCCGACTGGTCTAAAACATATAGGTCTAGCCCGGCATGGAAAAGGGTCATTTTATCATAATAAACCAGTGCTAGCGCTAAGTATCATGGTGAGAAACAACATGCGGCCCACCACACGTTGGCCTACACTGGCTCATGTCATGCTGTGAAGGAGTAAAGTGTCTTTAATGTTGTCGAAACATGTTTTTTGTGGCCGTCCTCTTGTAGCGGACCTTCAGAGATGCAGTGCCTGTGATGGTATCTGATGTCTAAAGAGATGCTAAACCACTTGATCTGCTGTTTCTCAAGAATCTAGTAAAAATACCCTATTTTTCTTCTTCTTTTCCCCCTTGTACCTCAGTGGAGTCTCAGGGAGAGATGTAACATTTGTTGAAGAGCTTTGTAAAGAGCATTATTAAGACTGATGTTCATTTCTGTAAGGCTGTTCTTAATGCCATCGCTCCATATTTTCCTAGGTCTTCCTCTCGCTCTATATCTGTTGTAACATTTCAGCGTGGCTCACTGTGGTAGACAGTACCAGAGCATTCTTCTTAGGTGTCCAAACAAATGCCCTATAACGTCAATAATTTGACACAATGATCCCATTAACCCTGTTTCCCCGAGAAAGCTGGTTTCCCAATTACAGGCCAATATGCCTTATATAACGCAATCTGTATGCTTCTTCTCTTTCTCTAGTTTCTTAGTGCAGAGTTTCAGAGTATTATAACGATGCATTTCTTTTTATTAACATTTTGAAAAACCTCATTGTTTAAGATTGTTATGAGATGAAAAGGGCAATGATAGCATAGACTGATACTAAACTAATAACATCATTCTGCCATCACTCCACAACTTCCAAGTACTTGATATGACTTTATCACCTACTTAATAACAGTATTTCAGGATCCTCGCTGGTGCTGGGGAGTTCATGCACTGCGCTGAGATTCTTCAGACTCAGACTTGAGTCAGAAGTAGAATAGAGCCATTATGGGTTACTATCCTTGATGTTTTAAAGGATTATTTTCTGGAATTATAATGGTTCCCGGTGTGAAAGGGTTAATGGTTCTAGTAATATTTGAATACATGACTTGAAATGACTACTTTATTACTGATCTGAATAATGTTCAGTTAAGACAGAGACAATGATAATAGGAAGACATAAAAACAATTTAGAAATTAAATTAAAAACAACACCCTGAGACAAACAGAGGAATTTAAGTATTTGGGAGCAATTTTTACATCCGACTGAAAACTGGACAGAGAAATTAGCTCCAGATGTGCCAAAGCTAATCAAGTAATGGGTCAACTATCTTCCTTGTTGACACACAAGCAGATACCTCGGAGTACTAAAGTGAATCTTATCAGAACTATTTTTTGGCCAACACTATGCTATCAATGCCAAACGTGGACACTTATATCCTCCAATGAACGTAAAATTGTGACAACAGAGATGAAATGCCTTAGAAAAGCTGCAGGAGTTTCAAGGAAAGACAGAATACGAAATCATGAAATCAGACGAATGCTAGGAATAAAGCCAGTCTTACAGGTCATCAAAGAACAACAAATGAAGTGGTTTGGACACCTTACAAGAATGCCCTGGTACTATCCACCACAGCGAGCCACACTCAAATGTTACAAGGGGTATAGAGCGAGTGGAAGACCTCGGAAAAGATGGAGTGATGGCATTAAGAACAGCCTTACAGAAATGAACATCAGTCTTAATAGTGCTCTTGACAGAGCTCATCAAGGAACATTACATCTCCCCACCCCCAACACTTCCATGAGGTACACGGTGGAAGAGAAGAAGAAGTTAGTATTACTAACTAATTAATAACACCATCTTTCTTTTGTCCACCCACTGTTAATTGAATGTAGTCCAGTATCCTGGTTTTCTGTACTTGTCTTACACTTCTCAGGTGGCATAAGAGATGATTTTGTTTATCCTTTTGCAGGTTTCAGCTATGCTGTCTATCCATCTCTTCCTTGGTCTGCTTCTCACCTTCAACCCAGATGTTCTGCTGTAGAAAGTAACAAACACAGTTCGGTCTGGCTGCATTCTTACAAGATGTCCCAACCACTTCATAGAGAACAAATACTAAATATTGTAAATTATCAAGCAACTGAACCAAAAGAGAAAGACAAAAATAGGAGACGGACTCAATGATTCAATGTCCCAGATGGCCTTGAGGATGCTGTCCTGTGTCAAACTCTGGCTAGCTGCCTCTCTGGCGGAGTCCTCAATGTTGTGGGCCTCGTCCAGGATCACCACATGACCCTTCAGGTTGATCTGCATCTGAGGAAGATAGTAACCTTCAACTCATGGCTCATCATTGCAACAGTCAATAACAGCAAACAAAATGACACTACAGAGTCATCAGTACAACAATAAATCAAAAGATAGTGTCATTAGTACAATAACCAATCATATGGACACTATCATCACTACAACAACCAATCTCAGCAACTGTCTCAAATTAGGATAACTATGTCACATCCAATCACATGAATTGTCAGTTCCACATCCAATCAAGCAACCATACAGTTTTACAGAAATTTTTACTAAAAGAAATTGCATATGAATATTTTTGCACTACACTGCACTGTCATCCCTAAAGTGTGTATGTGCAAAATTTTAGCTCCATAGCTTATCAGAAAATAGCGTGCAAATCGATTGCAAAGTTTGTACCTGACAGACAAATGGTGAACTTAATAAAAGTCTATAAAATAGTTTTAGTTACATCCATAGAAACAGAGGTTACAAAGACTAGAAACATGTTTGCCGACTTAGAGATCTTTGTTTCTAATCTGTATAATCGTAGGTGTTTTTTTTTCCCCCCCCACGATAAACGTTCTTTTTCAAGTTGACCCAGCTTGAATGAGTAGCAGGAAATGTCTTGGTTAAGTATGGGTTTCTGGTGCATCATTGCTCATATTACCCACCAAGTGCTGATCAGTTTATAACAATATGGGTCTGCCAAAACGGGCCTGAGAGAGTCGCTGTGGTGTTGGGGGCTAGATGCCCGCCTGCGGATTGGAAGGTAGTGGATTGGCGTCCTGACGGAGCTGACTCTTCTAAAAAATGAACTAGACTCCCAGGTCAACCCAGCCATGAGAGGGTACCAGGTGCAGTCCTGGGAAGTAAAGGCGGCCGGCGTGATGCTGACCATATCACCCACCAAGTGCCAATTGGTCTAGCCCTATATTCCCAATACGCATAAAGGCGTGAATAAGGGACCTTCACTTCTAACATGGGCCCTAATGCATGCACCAAAGGTCCTTTGCATTTTTTTTCCTTAACCTTTTCTCCAAAGATGCTGCCACCTCAGACTTAAGCCCAACGCTCCCCTGTAAATGTCGCTGTACTGCTAGTGGTTTGATCACAATAAGCTTAGCTATTAGCAGAGTCCGGCATGAGAGGCATGCTGGAGGTATCAGAAGTTTTGTTAACCAGCAGAGGACTCGCACTATCAACTGCTGAATGCTTATATATATATATATATATATATAAGGTTGTTGCGTATCCTTTACAGGACGTTGCAGAACCAACCCTAACAGCCCCTGGCTGTTGTGTGGTTTCTCTAGGCAAATTACGTCCAGTAGTTTGCCATTGCTTTCTGGACGGTCGGCTTTCTTGATACCACTGTCGAAACCAACGCAAGGCGCATTGCCCACAGCTGGGATCGAACCCGGCATCCCGGCATTACGAAGCGAAGTGTTCGTATCGACTTAGCCACAGAGCCGACTTCTTGTGGATAAAAAAAAAGCTTCTGGTTTTTTTTTTAAAGATAATTATGACATGAGAATTTCTGATTAGTCGTAGTGGTAACCAGGGGACTAAACACAGGGTCAAGAAAAAGCCATGATATGAACTTTGTAAGACTCAAAGAAATGTAACCTGATTCATTCTCAACTGCATTCATATTTACTGATTACTCTCTAATTCTGTACGGAGTTTAACACTGTTTGGTCCATAAATATAACTGGCAGGATTTGGTATGTGTGTGTCAACTGTGCAAATTGTTTTTTTTTTTAAAGGATTTTCTTTTCCCAGGAATTCCCAAAATATGTGTCACTGGCTTTGTTTATTGCTAGGTCAGAGAGGTGAAAGGTTAAACCTCATTTTAACGCCTACGCTTATAAAGACACAATTAAAAACAGCACCTAGTCCATGTTTTGAAACTTGAGTTACCCCATGTTGGTTGATATTGAGAATGTTGTCACTTACGGCATCTCTGACGATCGGGTCCACCAGGTAGTTGTAGGGGCAGATGATGAGGTCTGAGTCCTCCTTGAGCCCCCGGGACAGAAAGTATGGACATGCCTGGAACAGAAACCAGAGACAACAGGCAGGAGCCATGTCAAAGAAACGGTTTAAGTTAAAAAAATATGTAAAGTCGTGTCCAAGTCAGTCAGTGAAATTCTTGTTGTTCTGCATCAACATCCCTTCCTCTTTTACCAGTTTTATATGTCTGCCCTTCAAGCTCTGGAGGGCAGTGAATGCTGCAGAACTGACATAGCCAAGATAATTCTGGATGCTGATCAGCTTATTACCTCATACAACATCAGAATAGTGATGCAGTGGATTCCAGGCCACTCCGGCACACCAGGTAATGACAGAGCTGATAGATTGGCAAAGAAAGGAGCAACACAAGAACAACCACCTACAGCGAAAACCCTACAGACAGCAAAAACACTTATAAGAGCTATAAACAAAAAGACTTGGTTGAACAGATAGGCCATGGGAGACACTGGAAGAGAGGTTTATAGACACATGGCTGGCCCTGATCCTAATGACAGCATTAACCATCTAACAAGAAGGGACCAGGCCACCTGATTCAGACTTAGAACGCAACATACTCCAGTCAATTGACATCTAAACAGAATACAGCCACAACACTCCCCAGAGTGCCAGCTATGTAACTACTCCTATGAAACTGTTTAACACCATCTCTTTGAGTGCCCAAAACTTAGCGAGTCGAAGAATGCTACTCCCTCCGAGACCAAATAAGTGGAACACCTTGTACGGAGGAAAAGAACAGCTTGTGAAAACATGCAAATTCCACTATATGGCATTGGGCCAAAGGGCGAAAGCTCATGCGCCGCTGGATCGATAACAACAACAACAACAACAACCAGTTTTGTTGTTGAGGGAGACCTGAGATTCTGCTTCTTTGACTTCTGGTTACCTCAACTAAAGAAATGCTATACTGTTGTAGAGTTTCTTTGATGTTATCTTTCCATGTTGCTCTTGGTCTACCTCTTGCTATATATCCATCTCGTCTTTATGCGAAGGCATTATATGGTCCGATGTTTTCGGCAGGTGGCTAGTCATTCTGCGAAAAGAGATCGAGCCACATGGGATCAAACCCAGTGCAATGTAGTCGATCCTCTTAACTTTAGACTTCAACCTAGCCTTATTTGGTATGGCCTCAAAGTAGGCAAACTGCGATGACCCTGCTATGCGTGGTCTCCACACTCACAGCAAGTCAAGCAGAAAATCCGTGTGACAAGCGAACGCATGAGAAACTTGAGGCTGGTAAGGTAAACGAGGAAAAGTCTGAGGTTGACCTGTAGTCAGTTGTTGACCAGAGTTGGAAGAAGACAGTTGTGATGCCGTCAATGTAGGTTGAAAGTGTAGTCAACGGTGAGTAAATGATTACTGTGGCATAGTTGTGGAAGTGAGCAGCGATGACTGTGGTTGAGTAATTGTGATGGAATAAGAGAACTAAACTGGCACAATGTATACAGGAATTCGATCGGCATTCCAGTGTTGTCAGCTGTTGAAAGCTGTATTTGTTGCAGAGTAAACGAGCTATATATAAAAAGCTTTCTTACACAAAACATTTATTAGCTCTCATTTAATATTGATTCTGTGCCTCATTTGGCTTTTTTTCAATTCATTCCTGCTTCAATCTCTTCTGCAGCCTTTCTGTGGTCACTAATGTTTTTTGTTCTAGTGACACTGTTGCTCAAGATACTGACTATGAAGGAAACATCCGTAATTAGTAATCTCCAACAACATGGTTGGTGGTGGTGGTGGGGGGTTGGTCTATGCTCCACCACACAAATCGGGTTGGGCTCCTGGAAACCCGCACTGGGAGCATATCAATACAAGCAGGGGAAACAGATCAAGCAGGTGAGGAAGGAAGGATACTAAACAAGTGAAGCAAAGAAAGACAAAAATTATGTGGACAACAAAAGAACTAGACAACAAATATTAATATAAGCAACTTATTACTCATTATAAAAAAAATATACACAAAGAGAAACTGCAGGAAGATGACTGGCAGAGTCACAGACAGAGGAGCAACAATTCCTACCTTCTTGGTCTTGCAGAATGTGACCAGGTCCTCGAGGTCCCAAGCCGTGGACAATCCTAAACTCTTGACAGCATTCTGTGAAGACAGTCTGCCGGTGCTGTCTTTGAAGTGACAGCCTTGATCCTGCAACAGATATGACAAATTAGTCGCATTTCCTTTACAGGACATCGCAAACAAAGCTTAGGAATTTGTTTGAGCTTGGTTTTACTAGGCAATTTTACCTTCAGTAGTTTGCCATTTCTTGCCAAACAGTCAGTGCTCAATACTTCTGTCGAAATTAACGCAAAGCAAGCTGCTGCCAGATTGGCTGCAGATGAATCAAACCGGGTGTTCTAATATTACAAAGCATGTTTGCAACCCTTCCGCCAAGTGGTCTCCAACCTTTTTCAGGTGGCGCCCCACTTGAGCATATGGCAAGATTCCCCCTCCTCTTCCAGCAACATAACAAAATGTGATCAAAAAGCAGAGGACTGTGTTCTTAACTGATAATTAAATGTACGTGTTATCACATATTAATTAGATTTTAAACAAGAGATGTACAAACTGCTCATAAAATCAAAAGCGTCCTTGGCTTTTTGTTTCCTAAATAGTTTTTAAAATATTTTAACAATAATCAAACTGACAAAAAATGTTAGTAAACAGATTATTATAGGCACAGACGAACTCATTTTATTTTCAAAATTGTTAGACATCCACAACACCCCCGCCCCCACCCTTTGCAACTTCTTCATGCCGTTCCACCCCCAGGTTGAAGACCACTACTTTAGCCTGGCAAAACAGGAGAAATTGTTTCTTGGCAATTGGACGACCGAATAAACTAAATAACTAATGGTCAGCAGGTCATCTGATGCACCATAGACAGTAGGGACACTGGATAATAAGAGTCATTTACTCTAAGAATCAGCTCATGGGACACCAGTGGATATATCAGGTTGGTCTAGCACAAAACGGGTACCAGGTAATTTCCTGGGAAGTAAAGGCGACCAGCATAATGCTGACCACATCACCCATCGTGGATACAGAGTAGAATGTGTTGTAGTTTATGCAAACAAAACCAAATAACAGTTCTGAAAAGATTAGGAATGAAAAAACCATAAACACTAGAAATGAACAGAGTTGATAAAAACCATAAACACTAGAAATGAACAGAGTTGATTAAAAAAACCATAAACACTAGAAAGTTGATAAAAAAAAACATATACGCTTGGAATAAAAAGAGTTAATAAAAAACAAACACTGGAAATGAAAAGAGTTGATGAAAAACAAAAACACTAGAAATGAAAAGAGTTGATTAAAAAAACATACGCTAGGAATAAAAAGAGTTAATAAAAAACAAACACTGGAAATGAAAAGAGTTGATGAAAAAACATAGGCTAGGAATAAAAAGAGCTGACAAAAAAACATATACGTTAGGAATAAAAAGAGTTAATAAAAAACAAACACTAGAAATAAAAAGAGTTGCTGAAAAAAAAAACATGAACACTAGAAACGAAAAGAGTTGATGAAAGAAAATTTAACAATGTAACATTCATAAACGGAAATGTGGAAAGCAAGCAAGCAAGATGTAGTAGACAGATCTACAAATGAGAGGATAAAATCAATAAACAGACAGTCTCAGTTTACCACCAGGACGAAAGAGACAGAGACTCATAGAGATCCCTCACAGCCAACCTTCACTGTGAAGATGGCACCAGATTGATCGATATATGTGAAAATATTATTACAACTTACGTTTAGAAGCTCCCTGCACGCATCATTTTTGTTCTTTGTTCGTGAAACTTGTGGATGTATGCATGTATGTTCTCGACTGCCCAGCACCGTCATTCTGAGTGAGATAGAATATAAACAAAAGTTTAGGTTTTAGGTCAACGCAACCCTCAACAACAATGAACTTATACTGTTCTAAACATTTCTTATTCTGTCAATCCTGTCACCTTTCTTTGCTCGATTATTGGCCTCAATAGGATATGAGTTGTGCGCTCTGAGAGGGGGTCCGGGGGGGGGGGGGGGGGGGGGGGGGGGGGGGGGGGGGGGAGAGAAAGAGAGACAGGCAGAGGACAGAGACACTATAGAGGGATTAACAGAGACACTATAGAGAGATAGACAGACAGTACAGGGGCAGAGTATGTAGAAGTTTACTCACACTGTAGGTAAACATAGGGATGCTAGTGAAGTTTTATATTTTGGGTTTTTACTTACGAAACCATGACAGCTTGATAGAGATTAAAATTACAAATCCAATGGTACCTCATTTAAGCCCGTAAGTCGATTCTAATCGGAGATATTAACATTTTAGTGGTGGATACCACCACAGACAAATTATAGCGGAAATGGACAAAACGTGGATTCCGGGCTGCAACCAAGTAAGATGAATGACTCAATGTTGGCATTTTACGGCCATAACTATGTGCTTCTGAACAAATCCCTTAGCAACCATATATTGCTGGCATCCGGACAGTTAGAACTAACTGTCTATGCATGTCTCAAATACGTACACTTCAATATGCACCTATTTAACATTTCAAAATGGCCGCAGGCTGACTATTTTTTTAGCAAAAACCTTATAAATGTACGGTTGTCTGCCAATGAGCCTGACAAGATGCACATCATATTGTGTGCACTCATAAGGCGAACATAAAGATCATATATTTGTGAGTTGACGTGACATAATTAACAAAAAAAATTGGCGGCCATAACTGCTGCATAGGGTATCCAGCCTCAAAAACTGAGAGATGATCTCTGAGATGCTTAGCTGTTCTTCTTACCATGACTGTACAGGAACCGTAGCGGGCTTTAAAACCGGGAAAAAGTCTGGCAATGCATGATACCTCTCAAGGTCTGAAATTTATTTTTATAAAAACTGACGACAATCCTGGAACTTTACAAACAAATCCTTAAACTTTACTGACCATAACCTTGATGTGTAAGTAAAGTTTACTTTTCCAAGAACTCTAAATAATGGCAGATGCATGAAAAAATGCGACAATGGTTGTTGATTTTTAAAAGATAGTTAAAATAACCTTAACTAACTTAGTAAGCATTTTAAATAAATTATAAAGCGGGTCAAACGGTCGTCTGATGCAGACATTTTGGATTTGAAGCAAAAACAGTGATGCCACTAAAAAATTGTTTTAAGCACTTGCTTACAGCCAATCTTGGTAAAATGTTCCATACTTATTTAAAAATAAACGCAGAATCTACAAAAACAATGCAAAATGTGTTAATCGGGCTAGTTTAGAAGATATTTACGAACTTACTTACCGTGAAAATCGCTGTGCTGTGCCAAAAATTTATCGTGTGCGCGCCAAACCCGTGTCATGTCACAGCCAAGCATCTGTTCAGTAACCCCTAACAATTGCTTCGATTTGATTTTTCACGTAAAGAGCACGAAAAAATAATCTCTCAATAACGGTCAATGCGGGCTGGTTTTGTCGATCGCGGTGGCGTTCCTAGTTACGGGTGAAAATGTAAAGCAAAATAAACGAAACAAAACCATACATAACAATACCTAGTAAATAAATAAATCACTTTTTGTTTTGCTCCAGTGATGCACAAAGCAATATGCTAGACTCATACTTTAACAGAACAATCAGCACTCTCTACATTAGTGGTTCTTAACCTTCCTAATGCTGCGACCCGTGAGTTCCTCACGTTTGGTGACCCCAAACCATAAACACTAAACAATTTGTCGCTACTTCATAACTCAGTCCCCCCGTGTGGGTTCTGGGGCCCTACTATGGGAAAAACAAGAATAGACCCACTGCCTACCCAAAAGCATGTTGTAAGAGCCGACTAATTGGGAGCTTCCTTCGAAGTCGGAGTGCATCTGCCTGAAAGGCAAGGAACCAACAGATCTGTCAAACGGATGCACACGCAAAACTAAGGTTCTGGAACAGGACTGCAGTCCAGAAGTAGACGAACAACCAGAACTTTCCGCGGGAGTTTACAGCCGGTGAACGCGAAGAAGAAGATAACTCAGTCCTTAAGAAAGAGAATAGGGGCTTTTGAGCTGAAATATCTTGGACAAAAAAGAGGATGAATATTGACATCTTGAAAGATCTGAACATCAAGGAAGATTGGCTCATAAACAGCATCCTGTCTCGGAAGCTGAAATATTTTTGTCATTTCAAGCGCCACAACAGATTTAAAAAAACATAATAGCAGAGGGCATGATAAAGGAGGGGCAGGGGCTGACCAGCATAAAGATGGGCACAGGATATAAGTGACTCCTTCAGTATGAAAGTACATGAGGCGGGAGGGCTGGCGAGAGACCGAGTTTCTTTCAGGCAGACCGTGATGAGAGTGACGTTCTGCAAAAGGACCTGCTACATGATGATGACTTCATAACTTCAATAAATATTTGTTTTGCTATGGTCTTTGACGACCCTTTTGAAAGGGTCGTTTGACCAAAAGGGTTGCGACCCATAGGTTGAGAACTGTTGCTCTAGATAAAGTGCTCAACATCACACCAACTGTTTTTCCTTTCTTGCTATCCATGTTAGACTGCCAGCCTGGCAGCCAAGGCTTTTTCTGAAGACTTCATGCAGATTCGAACACAAGACATTTTGAGTGTCTAGCCATTATGCGACCACAGATCCCGTACACATACTGAAGAGAACTAGGTCATAGTGATCATCTGCAGCAATGGTCTCCAACCTTTTTCAGGTGGCACCCCCTTGAGTACATAGCAAGACCCTCATGTCCCCCCATAACCCCACCAAAATAACAAAAGGTGATTAAAAACAGAGGACTACAAGAAAAATCCTAAGTAATGTTAACAAGGAGAGTCGCTGTGGCGGAGCTTGAAGCTGCGAAAGGTCGTGGGTTCGCTCCCTGGTGGAGCTGGCCTTTTTTTTTTTAATGACCACATCCCCCATCTTGTGTCAATTGGTCTATTAAATATAGGTCTAGCCCTATATGCCCTTACTGCCTAAAAGCTTGGAAAAGGAATCCTTTATATTAATATTAACAAGAATTCAGAGAAAAACGTGCACAGAATTTAAGTCTAATTCAAAATATCATATAACAAAAGAAACAATCACCAACAATTGGTAATTCAGTGTCTAAATATCAGTTTGATGGTTGACACTGTTTTGTCTTGATGATAACTACAATTTTTGGTTTAATGTTGGACAAGGCACAATGTAAATCACTCTCCACATCAAGCTAACAATGTTGTTTTGTTTTCTTGACCGTTGAAGCTGAAAACCTGGATTTTTACAAGCACAGACAAAATCAATTTTTCAAAATTGCTTGACCTCCCAGAAGACTAATCTGATCAACAAATGCTTGCAGAAGTCAGATGTCTCGACTGAAAGGCACAAATATCGCAGTCATGTTGTAAACAGGCACACTGCAACTACATCTTCCGATTGACACAGAAGAAGAAGACAAAGAAGAAGAAGAATGGACACATCCCGGCGGATAACTGTATGAGCACATCCACTAACCTGACACCATGGTAGCCTGTTTTTCTCAGCTCACGGACAATCTGAGCAACCTGCTTGTGTGTCCGTGTGCCAAAGTAAATCTTGGAAATCCTGCCCACACAACAAACATACAAGTTGAGGATTATAATGTGAGAATCACTGAGGGACTAGTAAGATTACTTTCCATACAGAGTAGTTCATCTCTTCTTCTTATTGTTCAAAGGTTACCAACACTGGTGGAAAATTCTGGTTGCTCATCACTGAGGGACTAGTAAGATTACTTTCCATACAGAGTAGTTCATCTCTTCTTCTTATTGTTCAAAGGTTGCTAACACTGGTGGAAAATTATGGTTGCTCATCACTGAGGGACTAGTAAGATAACTTTCCATTCAGAGTAGTTCATCTCTTCTTCTTATTGTTCAAAGGTTGCTAACACTTGTGGAAAATTCTGGTTGCTCATCACTGAGGGACTAGTAAGATTACTTTCCATACAGAGTAGTTCATCTCTTCTTCTTATTGTTCAAAGGTTGCTAACACTGGTGGAAAATTCTGGTTGCTCATCACTGAGGGACTAGTAAGATAACTTTCCATTCAGAGTAGTTCATCTCTTCTTCTTATTGTTCAAAGGTTGCTAACACTTGTGGAAAATTCTGGTTGCTCATCACTGAGGGACTAGTAAGATTACTTTCCATTCAGAGTAGTTCATCTCTTCTTCTTATTGTTCAAAGGTTGCTAACACTGGTGGAAAATTCTGGTTGTTCATCACTGAGGGACTAGTAAGATTACTTTCCATACAGAGTAGTTCATCTCTTCTTCTTATTGTTCAAAGGTTGCTAACACTGGTGGAAAATTCTGGTTGCTCATCACTGAGGGACTAGTAAGATTACTTTCCATTCAGAGTAGTTCATCTCTTCTTCTTATTGTTCAAAGGTTGCTAACACTGGTGGAAAATTCTGGTTCATATTCTACAAGACTTTGGTCTTGTTCCAGAACTTCAGTTTTGAATGCAAATCTGTTTTACACATCTAGCTTATTTGTATGCAGACTGTTGGTTCTTTTCTTCCTCTACTCTAACTATGAAGCCCCAACAGAACATGCCAAATACCATTCTAATGGCGAACACAAGAGGGACAGGTTCTTAACCAGCTCACACAATTTCTTCTTCTTTTTTCTGTATTCACCCAAAGACATAAAAGCATTGTGCCGGTTTACAGCATGGCTGCGATATCTGCACTTTTCAGCCGATACATCCCACTTCAGCAGGCATCTGATACCTAGTTAGCCTTCCTGGTTGTCTTATCCTTTGCTACTACATGCAGCTCACACCCAAATCCTCCCAACCTTTTTTTTATTTTTATCTTTTTTATTCCATTCTCTGCTTTCCTTCTTTGTAATTTTTTTTTTTGGGAAAGGGGGGGGGGGGGGGGGGGGGGGGGGGGGGGTCTATATTTTTTCCTTCGACCCCATGGCTTTCGGTAGGAGGACATACCATTCCTTACATTTAACAACAAATGTGCATCTCAAGCAGTGAGGGGGGGGGGGGGGAGATGGACAAATAAACAATAAAATAAAACTGACAATATGAGGGAAACCCTTAAAACTATGATAGAAATAACAGTATCCAAGCCACTGTCTTGTAACCTGATAATAGTGTTGCTAAGGATGTCAAGAGTTGTAAGCACATGATATCAAGATGTAGATAAAGATAGTGATGTCATAAGGACAAATTAAAGAAGGCTGCTCTGCTTTGGCAAAGGGGTGAAACCTACAGAGATTAATCGCTGAATAAAGTTCCAGCATGACGACGTATGCCGCACAGTTCAGCAGGTGTATGAATTGAGTAGGAAGTTTTTAAACACCGTGACTTCTGTTACTGACTGTTCACGACTAAGTCATATAATGACTGAATAGCAAACACTCACTTGGCTTTGGGTTTCCGTTCAGCTCCTCCCGTGCAGTTACACAGACAAGTGGGTTGGGGTGATATGTTTGGATCTGGCTTGGCTTTGAGCGGCGTACCAGGTTCTTGTGTGGTTTTGTTTGTCCTTGCTGCCAGATCCTCGTCACTGTCATAGACCACAACTATGTGCTTCCTGGACTTTCTTTGTGCTTGCTAGGAAGCAGTCAGAAGCAAAAGTTACATCTAACTGTAAAATATTTTCTTAAGGCAAACATAAGCATTATAAACAGCCTTCTTCACTCCTGTACACAATTCCCTTTCACATACAAATTCATCACTTCTCACGTAAACCTCTCATTCTCTGAAGTACACACCTCATTTTCTGAAGTACAAATCTCATTTTCTCAAGTATAAATCTCATTTTCTCAAGTATAAATCTCATTTTCTCAAGTACATATCTCATTTTCTCAAGTACAAATCTCATTTTCTCAAGTATAAATCTCATTTTCTCAAGTACATATCTCCCTCTGATGTATACACCTTTCGCTGTCAAGTTCATGCTGCTCTCTCTCAAGTACATCTCTCTCTCTCTCTCATGTAGACACTTCTAGCTCGTGTACACACCTCACGCTCACTACATGCCTCCCTCTCTTGTGTACACACCTCACGCTCACTACATGCCTCCCTCTCTTGTGTACACATCTCACTTTCTCATTATATGCCTCCCTCTCTTGTGTACACACCTCACTTTCTCATTAAATGCTTCCCTCTCTTGTGTACACACCTCACTTTCTCATTACATGCATCCCTCTCTTGTGTACACACCTCACTTTCTCATTAAATGCCTCCCTCTCTTGTGTACACACCTCACTTTCTCATTATATGCCTCCCTCTCTTGTGTACACATCTCACTTTCTCATTATATGCCTCCCTCTCTTGTGTACACACCTCACTTTCTCATTAAATGCCTCCCTCTCTCGTGTACACACCTCACTTTCTCATTACATGCCTCCCTCTCTCAAGTTCACACACTTACTCTCAAGTTCCCATATCTTCGTCATTTACACACCTCGCTCTCTCAAGTATAACTCAATGTTCAAAGAGTGGTTTAACACATAATCACTTTAATCAATTGATTTGCAGTTTGGGTGTGAAGGGACGGGGGTGGAGGTGGGTGGGGGGGGGGCTATCAATAGAACCTAATTAATCTTAGTCTTCCTGACATGTGATAACAAAACTGTCACACAGTTCATTAGTTGTTGGCGTGCAGCAGATGAGATGGTTTGGCACCCTGATGAGAATGCCTATTTACCAACTGCCACAGAGAGTCATACTGAAGAAATATAATAGATACAGAGCAAGGGGAAGACCAGGCAAAACAGAGAATGAAGACATCGAGAACAGCCTTGAGGAAATGAAGACCAACTTACATAACTCACTGGAAGGAGCCCACAAGAAGATCCTTTAACCATCCCCCCCCCCCCCCCCCCCTCCCACCCCCATAACACTTTAATGAAGTAACTGGAAAAAGAAGAGAAAAATACCATATAAAGGACTCTTTGTCACAGACAAAAGTTTACACAGAAGTTCAACAAATGATTTATGACAATTCTCGCCCAAGTGATGTGATTATTGAAACAAATGGCTGTGTGCTGAGGGGCAGACGAAGTGCATGGGGGTTTATAGCAAAGGTGAATGGACGTCGTTTAGTGCAACAAGCCTGGCATTTGATATCACAATGTCTAGTTTGAGACTTGGCTTGAGAATCAGCTATACACACATGCTGTGATTGTCACTGACTCACAGAGCATTTTGAAAGAGGTGGAGACAGGTTTGCTCCGTGCAGAGTGGCAGGCATCACTTCAGAGGTCCCAGGTAATTAGCATCCTTTGGATATTCTCACCAGGTTATGCCGGTGTGTTGGGAAATGAGCAGATAGATAGACTGGCTGGTTTTGCACCACCTGGTGGTGAACTGATGTATGACAAGGGAGCGCGTGAACAGTGCGGAAGCACAAACAGAATCATTATGGTCTGAGGAGAATAGTGCTGCAAGTAATTACCACGGGATCTGGCCGATGCTCAACACTGAAGGGAAGGGCGAGACGGATATAGTCAGACAGTTACTGGTACCATTGGAACTGGAACTCATTGTTTGCTGCTGAAGAGGGGGACGGAGCGCTTATTGGGGTGTCCCGAGTGCTATGATGTAAATTCTTTATTCAAATATACAGACACAAAAAAGTCTCTTGGTGGGTGATATGGTTAACATCACACCAGCTGCCTTTACTTCCCACGGCATGTCCTGGTACCCAGTTGAACTGGACCAATCCAAGGTATTATCAGGATATTGACAAAGAAAGTGTTTGCTATTGAGGTAAAGATACCCACAGCCGGACCCGGAAAAGAAAGATAGAATCAGGATTTTTTTTTTCTTGGTGGCACGTAACGGTACAGTTTTTTTTTTAAGGTATAATTTTTTCAGGCTACTGTAATAGACTCTTTGTGGCAAGTACTGGCACCTTTATAGACACTTTTTTTCATGTCAGCACCTTCTGTGTTCTAAAACAAACATTCCTGGATATAATTATTGGTCATAAGACACCACTCGTGTTCTGCTTACCTGCAGATGTGCAGTTTTCTCAGGTTTAAAATCATCATCATCATCTTCATCAAGTTTGGCTACATCTAAAAGTTGAAAAAAATAGTGAATGAAACAAGCTTTACAAATAATCAATACATCAGTGGAAATGACTGCTTAACTGTACTTAGTTATAATTAACTTTTCTGCCTCAAGAAGCTGAAATTTAAGCTGTGCCGTCTATTAAAATTCCCTATGAGGTCAATATTTCATAATAAAAAAATTGGCAAAATTTCAGCTTTGCTGTCTGTTCAAAGCCTCATTAAGGCCAATAGTGCATAATACAGAACTGGCCAAATTTCAGCTTTGCCGTCTGTTCAGATCCTCATTAAGGCCAATAGTGCATAATACAGAACTGGCCAAATTTCAGCTTTGCCGTCTGTTCAGATTCTCATTAAGGCTAATACTTCATAATACAGAATTTGTGAAATTTAAGCTTTGCTGTCTGTTACAAATTCCCTTAACGCCAATATTTCGGTAATACAGAACTGGCCAGTCCTTCTATACCTGTATAACATCTTTGGTATTGTTTGGACTGCACAATATTTAGATAGACCAAGTGTTATTATATGTGCACACAAAAATAGTGCCAGGAAAGCCTTTTTCTGACATTTTCCTTAGGAATCAAGCATTAAGCCTCCTGTCCTAGGGCTTTCGAGGAGAATGGGTTAATTCAGCCTACAAGCCAGATTCATAACCTGACCATGGTATCTGTTTTGTCTCTTATGTGCACCAGTTTGTCTTGTTACACGCCTACCATCGCTTTCTCATGTGCACACCTCTCTCGTGTTTACACCTTCTTATATCATGCACATCTGTTTCAGGTACACCTCTCCCTTTCATGTACACACCTCTCTCGTGTTCACACCTCTTCTATCTTCACACTTCTCTCGTGTTTACACCTCTTCTATCATGCACATCTGTTTCAGGTATACCTCTCCCTTTCATGTACACACCTCTCTCGTGTTTACACCTCTTCTATCTTCACACTTCTCTCGTGTTTACACATCTTCTATCATGCATATCTGTCTCAGGTACACCTCTCCCTCAAATACATCTGTCTCATGTACACCTCTGCCTCTCACATACATCTGTACCTTTTCAGCACTCAATGATTTACTACGCTGCCTGCTTTTACCTCCCTAGACATTGCCAGGTATCAGTTTTAGGCTGGGCCAACCTGGCAGTCAAGGTAAATTTTTTTTAAAGAAAGTTAAAATCCAGAGGATTAAATTCCCACAACCTCGTAAAAGAAATTTACATGACCCAATGCGAATTTGAACCCAAGACATTTGGGCTAGCATGCGAGCATATAGCCACTCTCCGTCGAAATAAAGTGATACATAATTATCCAACTTCTTACTAGTCATTTCTGAGAGTTGCTTCCCTTCCACACAGTTTGCCTCGGGAGTGGCCTTGACCGGAGATGACCCACTGACCTTAACATGAGCACATGTGCACACATCTATGTAGATAGACATAAAATAAACATGTCAACTGATTTATGTCGAGCGTAAAGTCATGATTAATCATAATAATGATCACCTTTGCTAGCTCTTCTTCTCAGGCTTTCCACCAAAGGAGCCCCAGTTTCAGATCTTCACTCTTTTGCCCTGAGAAGCTGAAAACTGGCCACTTCAGTTCGTGATACATTCCCAATATATGTCTATACATTTCTGCAGTAGCCTGTCCTCGAGAAACCTAGAACGCTATAGGTTCTGTTAGTGATACATTCCCCATATATGTCTATACATTTCTGCAGTAGCCTGTCCTTGAGAAAACTAGAACGCTTTAGGTTCTGTTAGTGATACATTCCCCATATATGTCTATACATTTCTGCAGTAGCCTGTCCTCGAGAAACCTAGAACGCTATAGGTTCTGTTAGTGATACATTCCCCATATATGTCTATACATTTCTGCAGTAGCCTGTCCTCGAGAAACCTAGAACGCTGTAGGTTCTGTTTGTGATACATTCCCCATATATGTCTATACATTTCTGCAGTAGCCTGTCCTTGAGAAAACTAGAATGCTTTAGATTCTGTTAGTGATACATTCCCCATATATGTCTATACATTTCTGCAGTAGCCTGTCCTCGAGAAACCTAGAACGCTGTAGGTTCTGTTTGTGATACATTCCCCATATATGTCTATACATTTCTGCAGTAGCCTGTCCTCGAGAAACCTAGAACGCTGTAGGTTCTGTTTGTGATACATTCCCCATATATGTCTATACATTTCTGCAGTAGCCTGTCCTCGAGAAACCTAGAACGCTATAGGTTCTGTTAGTGATACATTCCCCATATATGTCTATACATTTCTGCAGTAGCCTGTCCTCGAGAAACCTAGAACGCTGTAGGTTCTGTTTGTGATACATTCCCCATATATGTCTATACATTTCTGCAGTAGCCTGTCCTCAAGAAACCTAGAATGCTGTATGTTCTGTTTGTGATACATTCACCATATATGTCTATACATTTCTGCAGTAGCCTGTCCTCGAGAAACCTAGAATGCTGTATGTTCTGTTTGTGATACATTCCCCATATATGTCTATACATTTCTGCAGTAGCCTGTCCTCGAGAAACCTAGAATGCTGTATGTTCTGTTTGTGATACATTCCCCATATATGTCTATACATTTCTGCAGTAGCCTGTCCTCGAGAAACCTAGAATGCTGTAGGTTCTGTTTGTGCCTGCACGGTGTTTAAAAGGCTTGGATATCAATATCTTCTTCTTCAGCATTCCCAGCCTTTGAGGTTCTTTGCTGCGGACATCACCTGCCTCCTTTCATCTCTCTGGTTGACCTTCTCTTTCCAGTTGGTGACACCAAGTGTTTGCAGGTCTGCCTAAACATTATCTCCCCATCGTCTTCTTGGTCTGCCTCATGGTCTACAACCATTGATCTCCCTTGTGTATACAGTTTTTACTTCTCTGTCATCTGACATTCTCTCAAAATGCCCCAACCATTTCAGTCTATTAGCTCTCATGATGCCAGTGATCAGTTGTGATTTAAACAGATTATGAATTTCATTGTTACTTCTCACTATCCATTCCCTGTTGTTTGCATCTTCGATAGGATCAAAGATTCGTCGTAAGACTCTGTTTTTGAAAACCTGTAATAAGGCTTCATCTCTTCTAGCTGTTCTCCAAGTTTCAGAGCAAAAAAAAAAAAAAAAAAAGGACTGGTCTTATCAATATTTGATATATTTTGATCTTGGTGTTAACTTTAGCAGATGCTTAAGGGCTTGGATATATATATTTACTAAAAATAGCTTTTTAAAGCTATTGTGATATCCTAATTTTCCCACAGCCTCAATGTTAGTCATCTCATATATACTTTGTGTGTGTGGCCCCAGGGAATGTATTTCATTTCATGCTTCACACTGTTCATGCTCATGTTATTTGGAGTTGAAAATCTACCTAAAGTATTTCAGGATCCTCGCTGGTGCTACGGAGCTCATGCACTGCGCTGAGATTCTTCTAACTCAGACTTGAGATAGAAGTAGAACAGAGCACTTGTGGATTACTACCCATGTGCTATGTTGATGATCCGTTCTTCAAACTTCTGTTCATATTTACTGATTACTCCCTCTCTCTATCTCTCTATTCATACATATATATATATATATATGATGGTGGGAGGGGGGGGGGGGGGGGGTATTAAAATATGGACAAAATGTTGTTGTTTGTCCATCACGAGTGATGAAGGCCTCTTTCATCCAACTGGATGATAAAATTAATTTGTTATAAAATATATTAGTCACCTGCATAAAATGATTGCTTTTTTAACGGTTATTTTTGGAGGAAGGTGGGAGGAAAAAGGGGAGGGGGGTGATTCTGAGGATCCTGTCACTTTTTTTACAAAATGTTTCTAGGGCAAAAAGGCTCAGGGCTATGAGTGACTGGCTGGACTTTACGACCACAGTTCTATGCAGGATGAGGTCATGAGTCTCATGGCCACCTTCCTTAATCCCATGTAACAAGATGTGTGCCAGGTGACAGGGTCAGAATCTGTGCTTCCATTTTAGGCTCTGGAAACATGAGTCCCTGGGACAATACTCACACACACACAAAAACTGAATGGTATTGCAGAATTACTAATGTGGTATTCAGGGCGTGGACTAAATAAATTCCAGCAAATCAAGAAATAACATTTGTATCAACAATTGTATCTTTCTTATTTTCAGTACACCTCCAATCCTTTTTTTTTTTAACAGTTCAACATTCTGTTACAATTTCAAACATTCTAAAAATGATTTTAAAAAATTCTAAAATGTACTAAAACAGTGTTTCCTAAACTTGTCTTGGCTGCGGTGCCTTTTTAAAAAAAAAATGTGTCCACTGTGCCCTAACCTAACGAAAAGTATGACTATTCGTGGCTTGGTTAAATTAATTATGAAGCTTTTACAATATTTTGGGGTGACCCTGTGAAGAGGTCGCAGCTTCCCAGGGTGCATAGTTTGGGAATCACTGTACTATAACATCAGGCATGGTACCAAAAGTACAGTTATGCTCGGCAAGGGTCAAACAGTACCAAATTTGAACGAAAGTACCAACTTCAGCAGCCCTGAAAGACAATCATTCGCAAAAGACACACAATGAGAAAACTGATAATGATGGAAGTAGTCAGTTACAATAAGTTGACTATATACATGTAAAATTATTACATAAGGTATTTCGTCAGCTCACAGGTAAACCTGCTACTGGCCACAATAAATATGACTCAATCACTGCACGGGAGTCCCCGTGGCGGAGCGGCTATACGCTCGCCGCTGATAGGAAGGTCCTGGGTTCATTCCCTAGCGGAGCCGGACTTTTTTAAAAATGACCTTGGCTCTCAGGTTGACCCAGCCTTCAGTGGGTACCGGGTGCCGTCCCGGGAAATACAGGCGGCCGGCGTGATGTTGACCACATCACCCATCTTGTGCCGATTGGTTTATAAAAATATATGCTCTATATGTATATATAAAAATGCTCTATACGCCTAAAGGTGTGGAAAAGGGTTCTTTACTTTTTACTTACTTTACAATGACTGCACACAAGAAAGGCATTCAACATGAAAAACACAGCTCACAGTGCTGCACTAAACACTTAACTCAGTAGCTCAGGTAGCGGAACTATAGACTTCTTTCCATATGCAAAGCGCTGTCTGAAGCAAAAAATAACTTTGAAGCTGAACATTCTATCAAGTCTAGTCTTCCGTATTAGGCCAGAAGTCAAGGCACAACAGGACAATAAATGAATGAATGAATATATACTTACTTGTCTCAGTCTCCTCTGCCTCCTCTAGTTCTTGTTTTGCTTTAGAGAACAGAAAGAAAAAAAGCATTTATTACACACACACGTGGTACCTCAGTATACGATGTTCTTAATATATAAACGCCTGTGTTATCATATTAAATAGATTTTTTACTGTAAATACACTCCGCTTATGAAAACCAAACAAAAAAACTGTCCCTGGCTTGTTTCTTTTTTAAATAGTTTCTAAAACTATGTTACTTCAATTATAATTAAAATGAAAAAAATTATATAACAATTTTTTTTTTTTTAATTCAAAACTGCTTGAAAACAAGTTCTGGGAAGTAAAGGCGGCTGGCATGATTCTGACCACATCACTCACCAAGTGCCGATTGGTCTATAAAATATAGGTCTAACCCTATATGCCCAATATGCCTGACGGCGTGGAAAAGGGTCCTTTACTTTTAAAAAGGCTTTTCTCCCAGTCGTCTCCTCTCGATAGCCTGCGGTGTTTAGCCTCCAGCTACCTGAAGGACAATAAGGCCGAAACAATACTGTTGTGTAGAACTGTTTACGACCAACAATACCTTTTTCGGCCGACTGCCAGGCTAAGGCCGAACACAGAAGAGCCAAACTTTTACCACTTCCTGTTGGACTTTCAATGAGGCAGTTTTGTCGTCTCTGAATCCCTCTAATGATCTGCCAGAGGAAAAATAAAAAAAAAGTAAATACTGCATCATGCAAAGGTTGAAAACATTCATCTCACTAACAATTAATATTGTCAGTAGAAGCACACTGTGTTAGTCTCAGTCAGTGATTCATGACAGTAGAGGTACACTGTGTTAGTCTCAGTCAGTGATTCATGTCAGTAGAAGCACACTGTGTTAGTCTCAGTCAGTGATTCATGTTAGTAGAAGCACACTGTTTTAGTCTCAGTCAGTGATTCATGTCAGTAGAAGCACACTGTGTTAGTCTCAGTCAGTGATTCATGACAGTAGAGGTACACTGTGTTAGTCTCAGTCAGTGATTCATGTCAGTAGAAGCACACTGTGTTAGTCTCAGTCAGTGATTCATGTCAGTAGAAGCACACTGTGTTAGTCTCAGTCAGTGATTCATGTCAGTAGAAGCACACTGTGTTAGTCTCAGTCAGTGATTCATGTCAGTAGAAGCACACTGTGTTAGTCTCAGTCAGCGTTTCATGTCAGTAGAAGCACACTGTGTTAGTCTCAGTCAGTGATTCATGTCAGTAGAAGCACACTGTGTTAGTCTCTGTCAGTGATTCATGTCAGTAGAAGCACACTGTGTTAGTCTCAGTCAGTGATTCATGTCATTAGAGGTACACTGTGTTAGTCTTAGTCAGTGATTCATGTCAGTAGAAGCACACTGTGTTAGTCTCAGTCAGTGATTCATGTCAGTAGAAGCACACTGTGTTAGTCTCAGTCAGTGATTCATGTCAGTAGAAGCACACTGTGTTAGTCTCAGTCAGCGTTTCATGTCAGTAGAAGCACACTGTGTTAGTCTCAGTCAGTGATTCATGTCAGTAGAAGCACACTGTGTTTAAAGTGTTAGTCTCAGTCAGTGATTCATGTCAGTAGAAGCACACTGTGTTAGTCTCAGTCAGTGATTCATGTCATTAGAGGTACACTGTGTTAGTCTCAGTCAGTGATTCATGTCAGTAGAAGCACACTGTGTTAGTCTCAGTCAGCGTTTCATGTCAGTAGAAGCACACTGTGTTAGTCTCAGTCAGTGATTCATGTCAGTAGAAGCACACTGTGTTAGTCTCAGTCAGTGATTCATGTCAGTAGAAGCACACTGTGTTAGTCTCAGTCAGTGATTCATGTCAGTAGAAGCACACTGTGTTAGTCTCAGTCAGTGATTCATGTCAGTAGAAGCACACTGTGTTAGTCTCAGTCAGCGTTTCATGTCAGTAGAAGCACACTGTGTTAGTCTCAGTCAGTGATTCATGTCAGTAGAAGCACACTGTGTTTAAAGTGTTAGTCTCAATCAGTGATTCATGTCAGTAGAAGCACACTGTGTTAGTCTCAGTCAGTGATTCATGTCAGTAGAAGCATACTGTGTTAGTCTCAGTCAGTGATTCATGTCAGTAGAAGCATACTGGGTAAGTCTCAATCAGTGATTCATGTCAGTAGAAGCACATATAATATCTCTGAGTTATGGACCTTATCACCTGCTGCTTTTTCTGGCTAATATTGATTCTCAGTAGCCACACATGTGTCAGATATCCTACCGGCCAGAGAGATATGCGATTGTTCTTGAGGATACTTCAGTTAAGTGATTTTCTGCATTCTTATTCATATTTTTCATATTTGTGGTATTGCAGATTTATGTAATATGCTGATGAAAGCTCTAGAGCTGTAACGTTCACTGGACTTTGTGTTTGTGATACTGCGAGGCTGACTGGTTCTACTTTTTATTTGATTTGTTATCTTTTTATCTTCTCCTTCGCATTTACCAGCTGTAAACTCTGGCGGAAAGAGCTGGTTGTTCATCCACTTTTGGACTGCAGTCCTGTTCCAGAACCTGAGTGTTGCATGTGCATCCGTTTTACAGATCTGATTCATATTTATGCAGACTGTTGAATCCTCGCCTCTCAGGCAGATGCACTCCGACTTGGAGGGAAGTTCCTAATTAGTCGACTCTTAGATCCACAGATCAGATTTCTAGTTGAATAGCCCTGCAATAAAATAGAGTATCACATGAGCTGACCAGTGTCCATCACATGAGCTGACCAGTGTCCATCACATGAGCTGACCAGTGTCCATCACATGAGCTGACCAGTGTCCATCACATGAGCTGACCAGTGTCCATCACATGAGCTGACCAGTGTCCATCACATGAGCTGACCAGTGTCCATCACATGAGCTGACCAGTGTCCATCACATGAGCTGGCCAGTGTCCATCACATGAGCTGGCCAGTGTCCATCACATGAGCTGGCCAGTGTCCATCACATGAGCTGGCCAGTGTCCATCACATGAGCTGGCCAGTGTCCAGATTTGTTTGCCTATCGTGCTGAACTGAGAAGGGTATGGTTATTAAAGTAAAATGTTTTTGTCAACAAAAAACATTAATAAAATGTAAAAGCAGGGGTATAGAAAGATTCTTAGAATACTACGGACAAAGAAGAGAAGAAATAATGTCATTTTGAAAGATCTGAAAATCAAGGAAGATTGGCTAACAAATAGCATCTTGTCTCAGAGGCTGAAATATTTTGATCATATCAACTGTCATAGTGGACTGGAGAAAATAATAGCAGAAGGCATGGTACCAGAAAGGATGGGCGGGGCAGACTAACACGAAGATGGGCACAGGATAAAAGTGACTCCTTAAATATGAAAGTACACGAGGCAGGAAGCTGGCGAGAGACCAAGTTTCTTTCAGGCAAACCGTGATGACAGCAACATTCTACAAAGCACCTGCTACATGATGATAGAAACAGGGCTATTCAACTAATAAGATTATTAATACAATACAGCTGGCAATGATTCGCAGGCCACTTGCTAGGCCACCAAGGGCCAGAACTTTTCCTTGGGCAGCCAGTCAAGTAATGGGGAGAAGCACACGAGCTGGCCAGTGAGCAAATTACCTTGTCCATCATGCTGAACTGAGATGGGTATGGCTTGCATGGAAACAACACAGAGACTCCAGAAATCTTATATTCTTGATGCATGGTCATTCTGAAAGACAGCATTCAACATTACAAGTTGCTGTACAGACAATGTTACATAAACTAGACAGCATTCAACATTACAAGTTGCTGTACAGACAATGTTTCATAAACTTCTTCTTATGAGCGTTCACCGGCTGAAAACTCTGGCAGAACCTTCTAGCTGTTCATCCACCAAAGGAAATTGAGTTTGGGTACATATCTATTTTACAGATATGACTTATTTGTATGCAGACTGTTAGTTCCTCACCTTTCAGGCAGATGCTGTAAGAAAAAGCCCTAATTAGCTGTCTCCTATGACATGCTTGTTAAGGGGCAGACTATTCCCCTCCCCTGCCCCCACGGGGCCCCAGAACCCACATGGGGTCAACATTACCAGTTGTACACACAACTTTACATAAACTAATTGTACACACAGAATTACACTATGATATATGGTCAGTATTACCAATTATGTACACAACTGTAGACAATGATACATTACAAATATTACCAGTTGTTCACACAAGTTTACATAAACCAGCTGTACACACAAACTTACACTACATTATATAGTTAAAATTACCAATTAAATAGACATCTGTACACAATGACACATGACCAACATAACCAGTCAGACACACAACGTTACATAACCAACACAACCAGTCATACACACAACGTTACATACCAACATAACCAGCTATACACAAAAGCGAATGGACGACACTTAGCACAACAAAATCTAGCATGTGATACAAAAACATCTAGTTTGAGAATGGAGGTGGAGGCAGTCACAGCAGCTTTTGGCAAGCTTCAGAACCAGCTGTACACATGACATGATTGTAACCAACTCACAAAGCATGTTAAGAAAGTTGCAGACTGGCATGCTCCCTGTTAAGTGGCAAGCATCGTTGGCAGTTTGAGTTAGAGTTCTTTGGATATTTCCTTCAGAGTATTCAGGAGTATTTGGAAATGAACATGCAGACAGACTTGCTAGTTCTGTGCCAATGGGTGGTAAAGATGCATGACAAGCTAGATGTGGTCAAAGCCCTTTGGAAACAAGTGAACAAGATGCAAAGGCACAAATAGATCATTATTATGGAGAGAACAGTACAGCTGGGAGTGACCAGAAGATCTGGTCGACACTCGACACCCGTGTTTCCTAAACTTGTTTGGCTCACCACTCACCGCCCTTTTTTTCTATTGAAAAAAAAATAGGATTCATAAAGTCACAAACTGAGTTCCAGCAGATTGGTCATATGAGAGACTTTCGTCACCTGAGTCTTCGTCCCCCTCAGACTGGTCATATGAGAGACTTTCGTCACCTGAGTCCTGGCCACAGGTCTCCCTCTTCTTTCAAACTGAAATTTTTATGAATCAGCACTCATCTTTGTTTACAATAATGTTGATAATCTTTAAACTCGAAACCTCGCTCTCCTTACAAAGCCATGTATCATATCGTTTAAGTGATAAAATCTTCACCCTATCTGTGTATTAACGAACTGTGGGATTTACCTTATTCGTCGGGTACACAACTTGTAATTTACTGGAACATAAAACTAGTAGTAGAACTCGAAGCAGACGATTTGTTGACTTTTTGGTTCTTGGCGGGATTCGGATATATGGGAATACCCGCCAAATAGCCGACAAAAACCGTACGCGCTGTTGAACCTTTGGTAACTGTCGTTTATGTGATTGTAGGTCCTAAAAAAGAAGCTAAATATAAAAGTGACGCAAGTCATAATATTTGGTTTGCACATATATATCTAATTTTTAACAACTAATGACACTTTTGACACACGGAAGATTACATCTGTCTACCAAATCAAATCATAAAAGAACTATTTTTTTGCCGATTTTTTTTCTAAAAGAACCAATGTCAAACTTTGAGCCCTACAAAAACAAATTCTCGCATAATCATAATCTTAACAACAGAAATGAGATGTCATAGAATGCAGTGATGACAATGCCCAGCTACCAACTGCCACAGAAAGCCACGCTGAAGAATTCAAACAGGTACATATCAAAGGAAAGACCACTCAGGAAACTAAGACTACCAGACTACCACTCAGGACATGGAACGATGGCGTCAAGAGCAGCCATAAAGAAATGAAGACCAACTAATACAACTCATGGAAACAAGCACCGATAAATAAGATCCTTAACCCTCACTCACCCACCCACACACACACACACACACACGCACACACACACATTCTGTGGCAGTTGATACCAGGGAATTTTGGTCAGACAGCCAAACCAAATTAGAGGGATGTCCTGTTTTTATCTCAAAAAATGTGTGGATGTCTTTATTTTATGATGAAAAAAAAAAAAATATCGGGATGTCCTGTTTTAAGCGAAAAATATTATCGGGATGTCCCGTTTTCAGTTCCAAATAGTTGTGGGATGTTCCGTTTTCAGCTCAAAACATTATCGGGATGTCCCGTTTTTAGTTATTTTTTTGCGGAAGATCCCGTATTCAGCTAAAGAGATTACAGTCACCTTAATGTTTTCGGACATTAAAAGATACAACTCATGGAATTATAATAAAGTGAATTATTCATGGCAGACGGACAAATGCGAAGATAACCGCATGAGATGTAGGGACCGCTCTCTATTCGTGTAAACAAACAGGACCAGGCGCGCAGCCACCAAGAAAATTTGAGGGGGGGAATTACGCCCCCCCCCCCACACACACACACACACACAAACCGCATTACGAATTTTATAGTTAAAAATTGGGGGCTTCCGCCTTACAAGAACTGGTGTAACTGAAGTAATTCTGTAAGGGGGCCAACAAGATGTCATTTACATCTTTTTCTTTCTCTTCGCCCCCCCCCCCCCCCCCCAGCTGTAAACTCCAGTTCTGGTTGTTCATCAATCTTCTCGACTTAAGTCTTGTTCCAGAACTTGACTTTTACATGCACATCCGTGTTACATATTTGGTTTATCTGTATGCAAACTGCTGGCTCCTTGCCCTTCAGGCATATGCACTCCGACTTTGAAGAAAACCCTTAATTAGCCGGCTCCTACGGCATGGTTGCTGGGAATGCGGTGGGTCTAATCCCCCCAAACACACTGAGACTCAGGAACCCACACGGGGAAGGCATGTACAGTACATGAATTACCTCTTAAAGTGTGGGTACATTTTATATTATCACAAGAAGTCTCTTTTTAAAAAAAAAATATTGGGGTGGGAAGGGGGTGTATATGCTGGCTAGAGGGAACAAAGAGCCGAGGTTCTGGCTCCTCTGGGAACAACTTCCCATATTCTTGTCCGATAACCCCTGAACTCAATCACTGTGGTTCTAGCCTGGCCTGTTATTTTAAGACAGGAGGACATACTCATCAAGCCCGATCGTATAACGGTAATTAAGGAATGGTGGTATAACTAAGACTTATTTTGGTCACTTGAAACGTTACCAAAGTTTGGAAAGAACAATAATTGAGGGGTACATGCCTGGAAGCTAAAAGACTATGGTTAAGCACCAGCAAGGAGATCACAATTAGAATTTTGAGAGCATGCATCTTCCCTGTGGCTACATACGGATGTGAGACGTGGACTATCTCTCAGTCCTTAAGAAAGAGAATAGTGGCTTTTGAGCTGAAATGCTATAGAAAGAATATCAGAATATCTTGGACAAAGAAGAGGAGAAATATTGATATCTTAAAAGATCTGAACATCAAGGAAGATTGGCTTATAAACAGCATCCTTTCTAGGAAGCTGAAATATTTTGGTCATATCAAGTGCCACGACGGTTTGGAAAAAAAAATATAGCAGAAGGCATGGTAACAGGAAGGAGGGGCAGGGGCCCAGGATATAAGTGACCCCTTGAGTATGAAAGTACATGAGGCGGGAGAACTGGCGAGAGACCGAGTTTCTTTCAGGCAGACTGTGATGAGAGCGATTTTCTGCAAAGGAGCTGCTACATGATGATGATGATGATGATGCCTGGGAAGAGAGGAAGAGAACGGCCAAAGAGAAGATGGGTGCAGGATGTGGCGGATGATCTCCAGATGGGTGTATAGGACGCGGGACATCTGGCTTGTGATTTTTCCGGTGGGTTGTTATGAGAGCAAGGTCCTGCAAAGGACATGCTATTGATTGACTGACTGGTATAACTGGTTATTTTAGTTTTGACGTATTTTAAACCAAGTCACATCCCAAGTGTCGCTGGGTTGATGTTCAAAATAGGCCACATAAAAGATTTTACGCTAATTATTCGGGGAAAGGGGGGGGGGGGTCTCAAGAGACCTCAATCCCTGGGTTCAGGCGCCCCTGGGGTGAGAGGGTGTACTGCACACCCACTGCAGGTACATCTCTCTATCAGTGGTACCTGTGGTCACTTTCACCATGCAAGTGTGTTAGATTGGCCACTCTACAGCAAAACCTCGGTAACACATATTCCAAGGGGTCGACGAATCAATAGTGCACAGTCACAAAAATGTATGCTAATCGGTGGCTAAAATGAATACATCCCTGCTGGGACCAAATTGTGTTCATTGTAACCGAGTCTTCTTCTTCGGCCTGCACTATTACTATTGCTGTGCTGCTGCTGATGCCGATACCGCTACTGCTGGTGCTGCCACTACAACTGCTACTACTGGTAGTATTACAACAACTACTACTACTAGTATTACTACTACTACCGCTGATACTACTAGTACTACTACTACTACTACTACTGGTATTACTACAACTACTACTTCTAGTATTACTACTACTACTACTACTACTACTACTACTACTACTACTACTACTACTACTACTACTGGTATTACTACTACTACTTCTAGAATTACTACTACTATTACTACTACTACAAGTAATAATATTAGTACTACTACAAGTAATACTATTAGTACTACCACTAGTAGTAGTATTATTACTACTAATACTACTACAGCGACCACCACAACCACTCTCGCCACGGTACAAATTTGTTTAAAGTCAAAATCAAACCTATTTATGTTAGCCCGCCCTTTTTCCACATCTCCAGATATTCTCATCACCTAATCCTTTAGAA